GAAACATCCTATAGGAATTGAAGGCAATTCAGTACATTCAGATTTATGAAATGTAATGTGATTAAAGAAATAATAACTAAAGAGAATGGATTCAGTTTTGTTGTTATTTTGAGGACATAAATTGTTTAAACTTCTATATAGAATTAACTACTTATTATTTGATCTCTTAGGGACCTAAGTAAGAATATGAGTTCACCTCCAAAAGTGATTTTTTTTTTATGTCTGGCTTCAAACTGATCATAAGGGCAATTCTTCATTTCTGGTAGGTATTATTCTTAATTTAATGATGACCTGGAAAGGATAAAACGGCTAATAATATGTGCTTAAGAATATAGGTTTGTGAGGCACATGGCCTGCATTGAAAATGGGATTCCACTATGAGGAAGAATGCTAGTTATAAATGTACTAGAGGCCAGATGCATAAAATTCATGCAAAAATGGGTCTTTCTTTCCCTGGCTTCCGGCACCGGCTTCCCTCTGGCACCCGGACTCAGGCTTTGATCCAGCCTCCAGCAGGCATCCAGGACCTGGGCTTACCTCACATCCCTGGCTTCATTCAGAAGGACATCTGGTCTAATTAGCATATTATCGATATGTTTTCACTAGAAAGCCCATCACTCGATATCATGTGATACCCAGAGTCCCGCCCACGGCTGCTAGGGATCCATCAATGCACCTCCTGATGAGTCCAGTCATTGGTCCTTATGGCATTACGGCCACAGGCCTTTTATAATATATATGACCCTGTTTCCATGAAAATAAGACAGTGTCTTATATTAATTTTTGCTCCCAAAGATGCGCTAGGTCTTATTTACAGGGGATGTCTTATTTTTCCATGAAGAAGAATATGGTACACATTTATTGTTAAATGAAAATAAAGGAAATTTATTACCTGTATATGGTACCGTAGTATGGTAGTTGTCAACACAAACCAGACAAACTGTGAATCCTACAGTACCAAGAATTTACTCATTTATTCAATGACAATCATGTCATCATCTTCTGGAACATCATCATAATAATCTAATTCCTGAATTTCCTGGTGAATTTCTTGTGACTCCATTTCTTTTAGAATCAGTGGACCAAATCTCTCATATTTAGCAATAGCACTGTCTTTAAATGAGTACTTGTTAACGTAGCCTGCTTGCAGTGCATTTGCAATGCAACTGTCAGTGATTTTCTCCCATGAATTCTTCACCCAAGTCACAATTTCTTGCAGTTTCACAAAGTTTCCATGCTGATTTCTCTCCATTCTATTTTCAATGTAGTCATTAATTTCCATGTGCAAATTGTCCTTGAATGGCTTGTTTATTGCAATTTCAGGAGTCTGGAGATAGCCTTCATTCCTGCAGGAATCATTATCTGATCTATTTTTCTTTCGTGAAGAAATGTCTTCATGTCTTTAGCGTGGTGAGTGCTGGCTGCATCCCAGACTAGCAGATCTCTTTGGCTCCCTCGCATAACAAGCGGCAGCATCAAATCAACCCACTTCCTTATGACTGCTTGTGTGGCCCAGGCTTTTTCAGTTTCAAGAGTAAAAACGCCCAAAACACATTCAATCTTTTCCTTCTTGCCCTTAGAAATGATTAAAGGTGGGACTTTAGTGCCATCCAGAGGAATTGCCAAAATACAGGAAACCTGTGCACTTTCATAAGCAGTGGAGGGAATGTACACTAAGGAGGCACCCTGCTGTTCAATTGTTTGAAATGATTGGCTCATAAACACTGCAGTTTCATCCATAGCAATCATGTTGAAAAGATTGTATTTAGAGAAGTCAGCATCATCAATATTGGACTTGAATGCAAGTGCTCACTTAATAACTTGAGTATCTTCCAACCTAAACAATGTTGTACCGGTAGATCCTAGTATGGGGTGTGCAAGAGGCAGCCAATCAATGATTCTCCCTCTTTATTAATGTTTCTATCTCTCTATCTCCCTCTCCCTTCCTCTCTGAAATCAATAAAAAGATGTTTTTAAAAATAAGTAAATAAATAATGGTTAGACTTTCAAAAATGTCTACTTGACTTTCAAAAATGCCAATATGACTATTTTAAAAAATCCATTTTATGATCATATTTCCTTAATTTAAACTCTCTATAAAATATTTAGTCAAAGAATTAGCAAACTCCATCTATTATGTAAAAACTAGTGGCCTTGTGCACGAATTCATGCACATTGAAAGAAAATTAATTAGAAGAAATATTTTAATATCATTATTCACTCTTTCTATATAATAGAAGTATCAACCAAATTCATGATCAACAATGACAGATGGAAATACACATGTGCAATTTGCACCAGCAAGAGTTTTATATGTATTGAGCCTGTGCAAGTAAACTTAGCCTTTTATAGATATAGAATAAACTTGCTTTATGATTTAGCTAAACTTTTTCCAGCCCAGTAAAGCAATCCAACTTCTCTTTCAGGCAATTGTCAGCAACACAGCAGTAAATATCAACACAAAACAGATTATTATTGTAGATCATGCAGGGAGAACAAAGGGTAAAATATTTAACTGCAGCAGTGTTTGACTATATTCCATGCAGTGAGAAAGCCTGAAGTCATTTTCAAGGTCCATCATTTCTTACTTCTTTTCGGTAAGGTCACGTTTCTAAGATTTCTAAATCTCTGTATTTTCAGTTGATTAAAAGAAAATACAATTCCACTGAGTTGCCTATCTACCTATGCCAGGACTTTTGTGAGGATAAAATGAGATGAGGCATGGGAAAACGCTTCACAGACATTTGGTTAAAGCATGAAATGTTTGCACCTGACTATAAAGCAAGTTGTGTTCCTGGGCTGAAGAAAATGCAAGGAAGCTAGTCATTGCTAAGGAAAGGAAGATGGGCTATGTGATGTCACTACCCAATGGACAATTAGCATATTAGTCTTTTATATATAATAGATATTATGTTTTGAATTTACACAGAGAATTAGTATCAAGATTTAAAATTCTGGCTAGCCTTAAGTCACTTTCCAAACAATATATATTTTTTAAATCCTAGGTGATTCTGAAACATAAATTATATTATATATTAAATTTAATTGCCAAACAAAATTAAAATAGAAATTATTTTTAAAGATGTGTTTTAAAACAAGCAAATAATTAAAATTCTTTCATAATTTTTTAAAATTGAAATACCTATATGTGACAATTTTAGCTTAAAGTTTAGAATACCATTGGAAGACAGAGTGAAGTATAGTTTGTGACATACCATAGCTTTACTTTTTAAAAAATATATTTTTATGTAAAATCAGAGCCTACTGCACAGCATAAGAAATTATCAACAAAACAAGAAAGGCAACTATCTGAATAGGAGAAAATATTTGCAAGCAATACCTCCAATAGGGGCTAATATTTAAAATATATAAAGAGCTCATACAACTCAACAGCAACAATACAAAAATCCCAAACAATCCAATTAAAAAATGGACAGATGATCTGAAGAAAACATGCAAATGGTCAACACATATATGAAAAGATGCTCCATCTTTCTAGCTATAAAGCAAATGCAAATCAAAACTACAATGAGATATCCCTCCCACATGTTAGAAATGATATTATCAATAAGACAAGATATAAAAACTGTTGGAAATGATGTGGAGAAAAAGGAGAACTCTTGTGCTGCTGGTGAGAATCTAAATTGGTACAGCCATTTTGGAAAAACAGTACAGAGGTTGTTCAAAAAATGATACTAGAACTACCATATAACTCAGCAATCCCATTACTAGGTAACCACCTGAAAATCTGGAAACATTTATTCCTAAAGCTATATGTATGCCTATGTTCACTGCAGCATTATTCACAGTATCAAGACATATAAATAACTTAAGTGTCATTCAATGGATGATGGGTTAAAGAAGATATGATAAATATTTACAATGAAATACTACTTAGCATAAGAAAGAATAAAATATTGCCAATTGTGACAGTATGGATGATCTTGAGAGAATTATACTAAGCAAAATAAGTCAGACAGAGAAGAACAAGAGACCACATGATTTCTGTCATATGTGTAATATAAAACAGAAATAAACAAATGAACAAATAAAACAAAGAAACAAAAACTTATAAACACAGACAATACTTTAGTGATTACAAGAGGTAAGGGAAGTAGGAGGAGATGGAAAAGGGTAAAGTATGTCAAATACATGGTGATGGAAGGTGGTGAGGATACAGGGCAATATGCAGTTGGTATATTATAGAACTACATACTTGAAACTTATATAATGCTATTAATCAATGTCACCCCCAATAAATTTAATTTTAAAAATAAAAATAAATAAATAGCCCTAGCTTGTGGTTCAGTTAGTTGAGCATTATCCTGTGCAATGGACATCAATGGTTCGATTCCCGATCAGGGCACATACACAGGTTGTGGGCTCAATCCCCTGGAGTGGTGTATTCAAGAGGCAACTGGTTGATGTCTCTCTCTCTCTCTCTCTCTCTCTCTCTCTGTCTCTCTCTCTCTCTCTCTCTCTCTCTCTCTCTCTCTCAATAAAAAAATATTTTAAAAATATTTTAAAAATATATATGTTTAGTTTTCAAGGACATGTGATTTAACCCACATCTGGCACTAAGTATTAGTGAGTTATATTATTGAAGGACTCTAATGTATTTTATATTTTGACTACAGGAATCATGCAAGAATGGGCCTTCCTTCCTCTGGCTGCTAGCACTGCCTTCACTCCTACTGGAGCCGCCTTTTCACCCCATCCTGCAGCTGCCTTTCTGCCATGCCACACTGCCCAGAAGCCCGGAGTGGCTGAGGTGGTGCAGAATGCCTGCATCGTCACCATGGCAATGAAGCAAGTGTCCTGTCCCACCCAGTCACACAGTGCCTGCGAATGAAAATTAACACACCATCTTTTTACCCACTCCTGATTGGCTGGCTGGCATCACAAAGGTACAGTCAATTTGCATCTTACTCTTTTATTAGTGTAGATATCAAGAAGAATTAGTTATTCCAAAGTTTAAAATGACCAGGAGATTAACTTACCTTTGTTTACTATGCTGGTACCTGGCAGTGACATATGTGAAATTTCACATCCCTGGGATATACTGATGTCATCTAGGGCAACTGAAGCATTTGATGATAAAACAGTAGCTTCTAAAATTAACTATAATTACAGAAAGACAAATTATTAAAAATATGCCATAAAAACAAATGTTTTTGTGTAGAGAGAAGCTCATTTGCATCTATCTAATTTTAGAAAAATGTTTTGACCATAACATTCAAGTTATAATTTAATAGTCACAACTGCTTTGATAGCATTTTATGTAATCTTAGTAATTTAGGTAACTTAGTTTCAATTAAAAGTTGTAACATTCATTAGCACTGAAGGATTGCCTTCCCATTAGAGCTATTAAAAGTCATATGTATTTAAAATTATTTCTTTGGGATAATCAACTATGTGGTTTACAACTCAATTTAATTGAGATATAAATTCATTTGTAATGCATCTGCTGGAAACAATGATTCATTTTCATATCAGAATATTTAAATACTTATATGTCGTATGTATACATATATATAATTTACAGAGTGAGGTAAAGTCCACAATCTATAACCCTATACAGTGATAAGTAATATTCATATTCCAAAGCATCTATTTAAGTTTAATTTATTCTAACACTCTGAATAATGACTGATATAATTAATTTTCTTCTTATTAGTCAGTCACATTATTCTGTTGTTATTCTACAATCTTAATAAAAAAATGAAAGAAAAATTGCAAAGACTACAAAAATTAATCCTACTTTTCAGGCCTTATGCTAGAGAGACATTCCTAGGCATACACATGAAGGCCTGTGCAGCAATATTTATTTTAACGCTGGTTTTGATAACAAATAAATATGAATAATTCAAATGTGAGTCAATAAATTAATTGTAATATAAACCGTGGGTTATTATGCTGGCTAACATTAATCTATCTCTACTTGCTAATATGGAAAGGCCTTCAATATGTGCTTCTGCATATAAAATAAATTACAAAAAAAGTCCTACTATGATACTGAGTCAGGATAGTAAGAAGCTTGGAAAATTTATTAGTAAGTAGAATGGAGAAACTGAAACAGATGGCTAACTCAAACTGGCCCTATCCAGCACCCTGCCTCACCTGCCTCCAGCTCCCTTGCAGGATCACTGGCTAAAGTATTAAGCCCTCAGGACAATAAGGTTCAGGTCAGCATCAAATAATCTTAGGAACAAAGTTCCAGGTCTATTGGATTCAGAGATAGAGTTTTGGTTAAACTAGAGAAAACATCTAGGCTTCATTTGTGTTTCAGCTCCAGGCCCAGAAAAGCAACAAAATCAGATGAAGAGAGCCAAGGCTGACATCAGGACCAGCTGCGATGACTGATGACTACTTGCCTTGGTGCCAACCAATCAGTAGACACCAGGACCCTGGAAGGATACACCTGGAAAACTAGGAATATTCTATTGCATTCCTTCCCTAAGAACTGCCCTAAAATTCCTGCCTTTAGAAAACAAATAAAAACCAAGGACTTAGAGCACACTTTCTCCTTTCTCCGCTTCTTTCCTAAGAAACATATCTTTGCTTTCTTTCTCCGAGGGCCCTCATTGTGCCCCTGTAATTTGTTTCCTGAGTCCACACAGCCTCGCTGGCCCACTTCTCCCCTGTGACTTTCTTTCCAAAGAGGCAAGGCAGCTCTGCCTAGCTCACTCCTACTTATATAATATTGCCTCTTCTATCTTAAGATTTTCCTTTGTTTCTCTCTCCTCAGCTTTAATAATCATATTCTCAAAAACCAGCTGGACTTATTGTGAAGTCTTTCCTGTGAAAAGTTAATAACCAAGAGCCCATAGTCCCAGTAATAATACCATTAGGCTAAAAATACACAATGGGTTTCTAGATATACATACATACATACATAGAAAGGATATAGAAGTAAAAATAAAAATATAGTGTCTATAGTTAACTCAAGATAAAGACTATGATGGGAGGTGATTGTGATCAGGAGTGTATAATAAGTTTGATACTTTATAATAAGATGTACATAATTTTAAAAATTCTAATTAAAATTCTAATTCTGTATAGTTTTAACCAACTGAGAAATGTGGCCTTCATCCAAGAGGCAGGAAATAATAACAGGTTTTATAGATGAATTTTAACAAATGAAATACAGGTATTGAAATTGTGAAATATTTTATGGTTAACATCATTAAGTTATCATAATTTATTTTGGAAAACTTTAATTTTGAAAGGATTTTCATTTTATTCATTATCATAATACTTTCTGGTTGAAGTTAATTAAAATATAGATGCGTAATTCTTCAGACTTATTAGATAAGCATCTGTTGATGACCACTTTTGAAGTCCTGCACTGCCCAAAGAAAAGCTGGATAAAATACAGAATTAATGGGCAATTTTCTGCTCTCCTACAGAGGTGTATGATCCTATTCTTTAAATGGAGTGGATGGGCCCTAGGATGAGTTGAAGTGGAATTATGGGGTAGGTCTTTAAAATATGGTTTTATCGCCTAAACCGATTTGGGTCAGTGGATAGAGCCTCAGGCTGCAGACTGAAGGGTCCCAGGTTCAATTTCTGTCAAGGGCATGTACTTTGGTTGCGGGCACATCCCCAGTAGGGGGTGTGCAAGAGGCAGCTGATCTATGATTCTCTCTCATAGATGTTTCTAACTCTCTATCCTTCTCTCTTCCTCTCTGTAAAAAATCAATAAAATATATTAAAAATAAAATAAACTATGGTTTTATCATTTTGCCTGAAGGAAACCACTAGACTCTTTTAGATATTCTTATTAAAATGTAAGAATAAAACAACTTTCAAAACAAATAAAAATGGAATTAAATTATCTACACCTCTTCTTTTTTAACTTGTATTATAATTAAATTTAGGTCTATAAAATGATATATCATTAATTAAAATCTCATCTGATTATTTCAAAATCATATTAGCTATTTCTATTTTTTATTGTTTGTTTTAACCAAGCTGATATCTTTATTTGTAACCCAAAGCAGCTCCCTTTGGGAAAGACAGTACCTATTAATAATCAGTAAATAAAAAAGAGATTGCTCAAAGAAATGGTCAACCATGGATGAAGAAAGATTGAAAACCTGATTTCATAAGATTTTCAAGGTAATTTGAAAACTTAAACTTTAAATTGTATGTAGATGTCTTTCCCTTCTATAACTATTTCTCAGGATCTTGTTAAAATTTGTTTTAATTAATTAATTATGTTATACCATGAATGAGCAAAATCATTTCTTGCTTTTGCTTCCAGGAATCACAATTTGTAAATGATGTTTATAATCAAGGGATTGCTTTGCACACCTACAAAACTAAGGGAAGCTTTTCCAGAAAAACACTCAACCAGCGTATTAAGATTTTGGCTCTTTGATGTTTTAAAAATGAATAACAAGGACAATAAATATAAGTCTAAGAGGCACTTTAGAAAACAAAAAGATATTAAGAAGAGAAATTGAAATACAGTAATTTTTGAATGATGGTGGTATTAATAATAAGAGCAAGAGCTAACTTTTATTTAGAACTTTCTACACACCAGGCATGTTCACTTGTCTTTACCCTGTGAAAAATGATGCTATTTTTGCCTTCATTTTAAAGCAAAGGAAACAGAAGCTTAGAGACTTGAAGTAATTGGTTGGAGGTCAGACATTTAGTAAGAAAAATATAGAACCGGAGCCATTTAATGATTATGCTATATTGCATCACTATAATGAAATAAGGAGATAATCAGTCTTTAGCAAATTCTGCAGAACAAAACTACCTAGCAAAATAGATTTAAGAAAGCCCTGGATTAAGAAGGCTGAGGACAAAGCAATTTTACAGAGACTAGTCCAGCCTTCTCCTTTGTATTATAAATCTTACTGAATCCTCAAATGTCAGGAAATTGTTATTGATTTCTATCATTGACTATGATAAAAAGTGAACATGATATCAATCACTGAAGAAAATTTCACAAAAGGATCATTTTAAAATGAAATCTAAAATATGACACAATTATGTTTTAATAGGAAACTCAAAGAAAGTAGATCAACTGGAAATCAATGGCCAGTACTCAGAAAAAGTGTCAACTTTAGATATTAAAACTAAGAACAGCAGTTAGAGGGGAAATCCTAAATTAAATTAATGTATTTGTGTAAAAAGCTGAATATATCATGTGAACAGGACAAGCTAAAACATATTGGAAAGAATACTATTAACTATCTGACTTACATGTTCCTATAAAAACCATTCAGGAAATGGAGAGAATATTGAACAGTTGTTTATTTGCTGTTCATACAGAATAAATATAAGCCTAACCCTGTTCCTCCAGGAAGCATGAAAGCCCTCCTGACCAAGGTGCTTATTTCCTAAGGAAATCAAAGCAGATTGTACTCTGTTGTGATGTCTACTAGTACACGAGACATCAAAAGGACCACAGTGAATCAGAATTTCGTGGCTACAAGGGAACACGATGTCATAGAGTCTATGCCTTTCTCCTTTCCAATTTCTGGATTGGATTGGATTATGTTGTATAAATACGTTCAGAGTTTAGTCACATTGAACTAATGGCCAGGTGATGACTAAGGTCACCCTTAAAGGATTCAGTCCACTAAATTTAAAGGGCCAAAAATGACTATATCCAAGAAGATAAACTTTAAATATTCAAATATTTAAAAGCTATATTAACTATTTGCAAGTATAGTATCTTTTCCATGTGCTATTGATAGAATAATGAAGTAGAGCCTGGCTAGAATCCTCATGCGTCCATATTTATTGAATACACACTTAGAGAAATCAGGTTAAAACCAACATAACATTAGCTTTTTTTTTTCCTGCAGAAGTTAAGAAATGGATAAAAAGAGGTGCAAAGAGGACAAAGCTGCATCTTAATGAGAAAATAAACAGTATTATAAGCAAAGAAAATGTTAACATTAGTTAACTCTGATATGTGAGTACATGGATATTTGCCTCACTTTGTGTCTTCTATTTGTTTGAAATATTTAATGATATTTATATTAATATGTATTAAATAATACTGTATATATGTGTCTGTGACTATGCATATTTATATATTGTGTGTTCTTGTCTCTGTGTGTGTTTCTGTGTATAAAATCTGGACTGATTCACACCAGATTGTTAACACAGGCCCATGATATCTTATCTAAAGTCTTTGGGGCCAGCTGGGTTTTGAAATTTGAATAGTTCAGAGTTGAGGCTGTTAATCTAATACATATGGAATATATTACATGATTTCCTGAGGAAGCTTGGAGGCAGGGCTGTAAATCAAACCCATCACTATAATAACTGCCTAAATACCTTACATAGTTCTGGTCAGGTAAAGTTTTCCCTCTAAATTCATTTTTCACATACTGCCTTCCAAATTTTAATTTTCTAAATTGTGGCTGATTATCTTTAATGGAAAGCTAATGGATATTTTCTTGTTGTTTTGTTTTACTCACTTGTAATCTCTAAAACAAACCTTTAATATAGCCAAGTAATAGGAATAAGAAGGAGCAGAGGCAGAGACAAAACTCTTGCTTTCTCTTGGGTGAATTAAACATGGCTGAGTCTTAGCAAGAATCAAGACCATTCCCTCCTTTTGAAGGACATCACAATCAAGCTGAAAGTGATTAGTGATGAATGGGAGGCCCCAACTAGGTAGAAAGAATAGCAAACATGTGGTGCTGAGCCCCCTTGGAAGGGGAGAAAGAAAGAGTAGTTAGACAAGGCTGCTTTAGAAAACATCACAAATACCTTGCTTTCAAATTATAAAATCCTATCAAATAACTAGTGAATCTACAAACTACTTAATATTCCCCAGATAATAGAGTAGTCTCAATTTGTACTGCAAATCAGAGCAAAACAAAAACTAAAATCCTATAAAAATATTAAAAGAGACAGAAAACTACACAATGCTGAAACTCCTCAATGACAATGATAGGTTAATGAGTGCCTCCAGGCTTAGAAAGGAATGGCTTTGGTCTTAACCCATAATATTTCTCAAATGGCTAGTACTAACAGGACATTCTGATTTTTGTTTTGTTCTATTATTATATTATTAAGACTTTTAGAGCAATTTTAGGTTCACTGCAAAACTGAGGGGAAGGTAGAGAGTATCCATATGCCTCCTGCCCCCATCGATACATAGTCTCCCCATTTATCAATATCCCCCACCAGAGTGGGGCATTTGCTACAATTGATAGACTTGATTTACATATCATAATCACACAAAGTCCATGTTTGCTTTATGGCTCCATGGGTTTGAACCAATGTGTATAGGACATGTATCTATCATTATATTGTCAAAATGTTTTCTCTGCCCTAAAAACCCTCTTGTCATCCCCTGCCTCCCCTGATCCCTTGTAACCACTGATTTTTTATTGTCTTTAGAGTTTTTTCTTTTCCAGATTGTAATATAGTTGGAATCATACAGTTTATAGACTTTTCACATTGGCTTCTTTTGCTTAGCAATACTCATTTTAGAGTTTCTCCAAGTCTTTCCATGGCTCATTTGTACTTAACATTGAATAATATTTCATTATATGGATGTACCACAGTTTATTTATCCATTCACCTACTCGAGGACATCTTGGTTGTTTCCATCTTTTGACAATTATGAATAAAATTGCTTTAAAAATTCAAGTGAAGGTATTTTTGTGTAGAAAAGGACATTCTGTTTTCTTCCCAATAATGTCAATTAACAATAGATTCTGAATGATCTTAATGGTTTAATTCTAACTAAAAGTAGACCTAATTTAAAAATTTTATATAGAATATAAATAAATGAGGCAAGATTTCAAATTGTTCTGATTTTGTCTTGTCACATGTTATAGACATAGACATGAAAATGATTCCATGACTGGCCTTTATAACATGTTTTCCAATTTAAAGTTTATAGATTCATAGTGTTTTTTACCATTAGATTTGGGAGTGGAATCATGTATATAATCCCTGAGAACCGTGTCAAAAGCCTCTAATCATTGAGTCTAGATTTCTGGTCAATAGGACAGTCCTCTAAATAAAGAATACTAACATTTACAGAGTATCTATCATTCCCAGACAATGCTCAGGTAATAACCACAGCAACAGTAATAGCTCACTGTTTATTCTATGCCAGATTTCTTCCACGTGCTTTACGGGTGTAAATCATAAATAATCTAATCTCCCCAATAACTCTAATGTATAATCCTAATAGCAACCCATTCTATTCCCTATTCCTCCTGCTTCCTTGGGCAGGGACTTCCCTGAAGCAGCACTGCTGTTAGGGACCCCTTACTGTTTCCCCTCAGAGGAGGCAGATTTAACTGACTGGAGATGTAAAAAGAATAAGCTGGGTGGTCTCAACTCATCCTCTTTGTCTCTCATTCAACCCTCCTTTTGTGAGCCAACCCATCTTCAGGAGACAGGCTCTCTGATGTTATCCTGGATAATGACAAAAGTTGTCCCCCAAAATGTGAGTCTAGTCCTTCTCTAGCAGAGTTGGTTGTTCTCTGAGTGAAACTATTTATTCTGAAGTAAAATATTATTTTAAATATATGGCTGCAGATTCTAAAGCCATCTTCTCTAAAATATTTAGATATTTGACCTTTATATTTATCTCAGTTGATTCAAAATGAGGACAAATGAGGTGTGTTAAGTCTCAGGGACCCCTAACACCCTAACAATGACCGTCTCACATACCACCTCCACACACACACACACACACACACACACACACACACACACACACACTTTCAGAGGAAGAAACAGAAAGGCAGAGGGATTAAGCAACATCCCTATGATTCTACACCTGGATTTGAAATCTCAGCTCCAGAGTCTATGTTCATGGCCACTATTGTGGCAACTCTTTCTCCATTATCCAGAATCCCCTAACGTGTTGTTTTGACTACCACTGGGATTTCACTGACGGGGAAGTTGAAGCTCAAAGATGAAACATGCATAATCACTTAGGAAACAATGAACTGAGCAAAGATCAGAACTCAGACCACCTAACTCTGAAGGCATTGCATTTTCCACTACAGTCTACTTAGTTTCTGAACCTAGTTCAAAAGTAACTCATTTCAAACATCATCCAGAAGTGAGCCATGTGCAGGGGGTGAATGTTGGGGCACTCATTTGATAAGCTACAGTTACCTTCTTTTATTGTTAACCAAGAAAATGACATAAAAGATTTTGGGGGGAAAAATCTCCAGTATTATTGGGCAACAAAAACAGAGTAACAGGATTAAAATGTGAATATAGCTCAAGTAAGGTTTCTTCACTATCTCAAATAATCCATCATCCACACTTAAACACACACACACACACACACACACACACACGCACACACACACACACACACACACACACACACAAAGAACTTTTTTCTAAGTTAGTCTCATCTCTGCCATCTTATTAAGGCCGTAGCCCCACCTTTGCTGTGCTTCCACAGATCACTCTTGAGCATTTAGTCAAGATAATCTCTCTACTCATTCCTGATTGTGAAAGTGCTTGCTTTATTGATGTCAAAGGGATATATGTGCTAATGGTTGTCTGAGAAGATTAACATTAAATGGGAATCTTCTGCTGAGTTTTATTAATTTGTATGTGCTTACCTGAAAAGGCAAAGTAGATTCTCCAGTCTTTGCATAGAGATTGATTTTTGCTTGTCTCCATTGAAATTTGGAGATTCCAATTAGATCACCCTGCTTTTGCAAATTTCCATCCAGTGATGTTCTTGTAAAAACCGAGAGATGTGAATGCTGAGACAAATGATACCAAAACTGCACCTGTTGAAAAATATTGTTGAATATTCCATTTAACTGTCTCAAGTAGATTTTTCATAATTAAAAATATCCCCCAAACTACTTTCGTATTAAATGTAATCTTTGCAATTCTCCTTTCCTCCAAATTTGTAAGCCCAGAACAAAGAAAGCACTCATTTGCCAGACTTTGTATTCTCTCCTTAAGAAAAGGTGCAATACCCTGGCCAGTGTATCCCAATGGTTAGAGCATTGGCCTGCACACTGAAGGGTCATGGGTTCAATTCCCAGGCAAGGGCATATACCTGGTTGTAGATTCCATCCCTGGGCCTTGGTCAGGGCATGTGTAGTAGGCTACCATTCGATGTGTCTCCACATCGATGACTTTCTCTCTCCCTCTCTCATTTTCTCTCTCTCTCTCAAAATCAATGGAAAATATATAATTAGTAAGGATTAACAAAGAGAAAAGAAACAAAAAGAAAAGGCTCAAGGTGGCTGTACCAACTGATATATTTAACACTTGTCATGTCTAAGAAATTGAGCACCAGCATACTACCAAAACAAGTTTGAGGAAACACATTTGTCCACAGAGTCATAGAAGTTTCTCAGGAACCTTCCCTATTGCTTCTTATAAATCTGGGGAGATACACTTTCTCTCTCAAAGTTACAAAATCAGGTATTACTTTCATTATCCTTGAAACCTATAATCAGTACTTGCCATTAACCCCTTCTCTGTTTTAACATTATCAAAGAATTGAGGAGCTCATATAATACTACTCATTACACAATTTAATCCAAGTGAGATCTTGTTCTTTTTGAAACTATGGAGCCTTAGTTATTTTGTTTCTACTTGTCATCAAAGATGACATCTATATATATAAAAGGCTAATATGCAAATTGTTCCCAAGGGAGTTTGGGAAACCAGAAGTTCAATTGCTTGCTATGACATGTGCTGACCATCAGGGGGCAACATGGAAGGCCCCAATTGGCCTGATCGCTAGCCAGGCCTAGGGACCCTACCAGTGCATAAATTTTGTGCACTCGGCTTCTAGTAATCTAATAAAAGTTTGACAGGTAAACCATGTAATGAAGAAAATATATAGAGAGGATTACTTTAGGTACTATCAGTACCTATAACATAGACTCCATAACTGTTATTTATTCAACCAAATATTTACTGACCATTTAATAAGTACTGGGCACTGTGGAAGGCAAAAGTAAATCCCCTCAATGGTTGGATAATTCACTCTATAAAATATGACAATTACACCTCCTTAAAAACAGGTTCAGACACACAGCAGTCTTTTTTTTTTTTTTTTTTTTCTTATTATGACATTAGAGGCCCTCTGAAATTTGTGCACTGGGGGTAGGGGTCCCCTCAGCCTGACCTGAACCCTCTCACAGTCTGGAACCCTCAGGGGATGTTTGACTGATGGATTAGGATAGCCTTAGCGCTGCTGCGAGGCGGGAGAGGCTCCCACCACCACCACTGCACCTGCCAGCAGTGAGCCTGGCTTCTGGCTCACTGACCACCAGGGGGCAGCTCCTGTGTTGAGTGTCTGCCCCCTAGCAGTCAGTGTGCATCATAGCAACTGGTTATTCTGCTGTTTGGTCAATTTGCATATTAGGGTTTTATTATATAGACTAGCAGGGGTCCTCAAACTTTTTAAAGTGGGGGCCACATCACGGTCCCTCAGAGAGCTGGAGGGCCGGACTATATGAACTACTAATTCCTACTGTAACACCTCGGCTGCACTCACTGGCCAAAAAACCTGGCGGGCCGGATCAGACTCCTCTGCGGGCTGCATGTGGCCTGCGGGCCGTAGTTTGAAGACGCCTGGACTAGCGTCTCAGGGTGCTTTTTCAGGGGGAAAAATAATAACATTCAGAGATGAGGTCCGACGGAAACAGAATCCCTCTGTTTGGACTCTAGGTGATTCTTTTTCAGTTTACTATATTTTAAATTCTTGCTTTCTTCCCTTTGTCATTCTGCTTTTATTGTGTGTTATATGAGCAGATATTAGTTCATATATATATATATATATATATATATATATATATATATATATATATAAATTTACCCATTTATTTCATTGTTGGCACTAATTTCAGTGGAGATGAAAGATTGCAAAATTTCATTAAATTCTTTTTTAAAATTGCTCATTATAAAATATCAAGCATTTTCTGTTCTAATATGGCACATTTTTTTACACCATATACTTAATTGACACCACCTGATCAAATAAAGTCTTTCTGGCTGTCCATTTCATTTTAGATTTTACTACCAGAATCATGTAAACTCAGACCTTGATAGGTAAGCAGAAGTGTAAAGTCAATGGAAGTGTTTAATTAAATTCTATGGAAATTGAGGATTTATGTTCCTCAATTACAATTAAATCTTAGATCCCTGCTGTAATTTCAGCATGTTGCAAGGTTGTAAATATGCAAAACAGAGCTTTAAACCTAGTTATGCAAGAGATATGCATGCCCCATCAGAATTTCAAGCTGTCAAACTGTCACTCAGTACATCACCAGTGTGAAGTTATTTTAATAGTATATTCTGAGTAAAAATCAATGAGATCCACATTCAATAGAATAATGGATTAGAACTTATATTTAATTTACTATTTAAACATAATTGGCATTGTAGAAACTTAAGAATTCTTGAATTTATTATAGACCAAAAAACTTTCTATAGACTTTTCATATTCAATATCGTTAAGGGTGAAAGGATGGGAAAAAAATTATTAATACAGCTGCGGTTTGAAATGGGCACTTATCAAGTGTGCAAGGTGTGTGGCTCTCCATGTGATACACACCAGGAGTAGATCACCAAGACTTTAACTCAAAATGATGATGTGTGTTGTGAATTCCACACAGAACCTATGATAACAATGTTTATTCAGTAGATGTTCAGTAAATAAGTATTAAAAAAAAAGGAAAGAAGGAGTGGATTTTAGCATCAGTACTTAAGTAAATAAGTATAAACTTTGGAAGGGAGAGAGAGGGAGAGAGAGGGAGAGACAGAGAGAGAAGGGGGGGGGGAAGAGGAGAGAGAGGAAAAGGAGGAAGAAGAAGAACATGCTCTGTGTTAGAAAATGTACAAGATATTAGGTGTGCTTACAGATCTCAGAGTTTTATTGAGGAAAGTGAAGGGGGAAAAATGAATGAATAAGTATAATGAGCATAATGACCAAGGTACGAAAATAGTGTGGCTACTTACATGTAAGTTAATTAGCATTAAACAAATTTTTAAAATCCTCAGCATAACCATTATTGCTTGTCTCATTTTTGGTTCTTATAAATGTATTTATAGTAGCACATGATCTCATTCATCTAGAGGAAATGATGAACAACATAGACTGATGAACAAGAACAGACCTGGAGACAAGGAAGCATGGATCAGACTGTCAGATCTCAGAGGGAAGGTGGGGGAGGGTGGAGATAAGGAGGAGAGATAAACCAAAGGACTTGTGTGCATGTATATGAGCCTAACCAGTAGTCATGGAAAACAGGGAGGTGGGAGCATGCATGGGGAGGGGTTTGGGATGTGAATGGGGGGGGGGGGGGTGAGGACAAATATGTGATACCTTAATCAATAAAGAAATTTTTAAAAATTCTTTTCTTAGTTATACTCATCATAGTTTATTTGTTCAGCAGCTATATGTAACAGAGGAAAATTTCCATCATCACAGAAAGCTCTACTACATAGAGCTGCAAATCATGTACAATTACACCAATCATTTAAAATTTATTTACTGCTTGTCATTGTTAGAAGAAATTATTTTCTAGATTCATGCCAATTCAATAAAAAGCAGCTAAATTCAATGTTAACATTTAAAGTGTGTTTTTTATGTCTCTTGTTTTCATTAAGGCACATCTTTTATAGTGTGACTGATCACTGTATTCAAGAATTATTTAGAGAGAAAAATAATGCTTAAACTATTGTATTTATTTATTGTATTCTATGATTTTGTATTATTTATATGTTTAAAAATATCAAATGCTCAATTTTACTACAAAATGAAAGGGCATCTTTGGTGACTTCTCTGCTAGTTGCTGAGTGCAGGTGGGTAACCACACTGGAGTGTGGATGAACTCAGGGAGCCACTTGCTCTGGTTTCCAAGGCACCCCGAGATGTTCCCTGGAGGGTGGCCAGTTCCACAAAAGACTAACTGGACTCGCTGGTACTTAACTCTGGGAAGGCTATAACAGGGCATTGATTAGAAGTTCAAAATGATTTCCTCCTTATTTCTGGTTTTCTGTTTCACTGCCTTTGGTCTGTTTCCAACTGAAACTCTATCCCTCATATTTTCTGCTTCTTTCCCCAACTCTGCTTTGGTCTCTCTCAGAGCTGCTTGTCCTCTCTTCACACCCTTTCTCAGTTGTATTCCAACAGTCAGTTGCCTCTGCCATCTCTGCTTTAAATCAAATCAGGCCTTGCCTGGTATTGCTACACTTGCTTGTCTTCAAGATCTAGAATAATAAAAATACCAAGAAAAAAAAGTAAAAAATAAATAAATAAATAAATAAATAAATAAATAAATAAAAGAAAGAAAGGAAGGAAGGAAGGAAACAAGTTATTTCCTCAAAATTTAGCTGGCAATAAGTCTGTATTGAAAAGGAAGATTGTTTATTACACACACACAAAATAAAAAACAACTCACAGTTACCACAGCGATTTTTATGATTCCTAGTTATAACAGTTTTGTCTGTGGAGTCCTTATCTGAACAAAATTAAGTGGAAGTTAGGAATACTCAGTAAATTGTAATCTGTTTTTCTCATTAATCAATTAATCTCCATTTTTAAAAATCATATACAAGTAGAGAGTACTTGCTCAATGCCTCTCCCATAACTGTTACTTTCCTTAGAATGCATCACATATTCTAATATCTATCCTTGATTTAAACAAAAATCAGGGAACAAAGTGTGATTGCACCATTCCAAGACCCACTCATAATTACTTTTTTCATTAATTTGTCTTTGACATGAGTTCATCACTCTAGATGAGGAACATTATAAGACATGGCCTTTCAAAACTCATTGAGAGAGTTGTTGTAAGTGTCTTATTATTATTATACCGTGTTCACCCTCTTGTGGTACTTAACCCTAAATTGCTGTTGGGATCCTCACTAAACCTATCTTTATGGCCAGCATGTGCTCAGGTTGTCCCTGTTTTTCCCCAGCATTGAGAACTGTAATCAGTGCAGGGTAGATAAGTAAGCACTAGGCATATATTAAATCAGATAAAAAAATGTTTACATTGGTGCTGCTGGGAGCATTCAGAGGAGAAGACTCTGAACTATTTTTGTTTTGTGTTTTGCTTTTTACTTTCCACAATCTCAACCCACGATGACTCATTCGTCTTCTCTGCACGGGCTGCTGAAACACAGATGTGAATGTGTAGCCTGGCCCGGAATCACTTCGTTCTGGAACCATCCCACTTCTTACTTCATGTATCTACGCCCTCTTCATTCATGTTTTTATTTATAAATTTTTAAAAAACACACCCAATATCTATGAAGCAGAAACTTTATATTATAAATCTTCCTGTATCTAATTGTGAAATCCTAAAGCTGAGATATTTTGTCTTTTGTACTGTAACTCAAATAGAACTCAAAAAAATATTAATCCATATAAATCCCTTTCATATTTGATACTTCCTAGTTAATTGGAAACAGTAACAGCATTTCAGTACCGATAAGAAATAGTGGCTTCTGGATCCCACATGTTCTGTTTGTCCTATCTCCTGGCTATTAAAGAGAAAAGTGCCAAGTTTCCACCAGTGACCGAAGGAAGGTTTGAAGCTTTTAAATTAAAATCCATATCTTGAACAAGAATAAACTCCAGAACAACTGCGCATGTTGATACCATGTGTTGGCCATATATAAAGTACAAGGTAATAATTCATAATAACCCTAAAAGTCTGCTGATAGAAAAGAAAGCTTTGTGTTCTTTTAAAGTTCTTTAAAACAAACATGTTCTTCACTACATTAGCCTGATTTGATTATGTAAGAAAAAAGATCATATAATGTTATAAAATGAAAGCTTTGATCATACAAAGTGCCCAGTTATCTCACTGCCTCACTTTATCATTTTATAATGAAGAACATTTGCGATTCCATGAATACAATGTATAAATATAAAATATAATCAATATGTTCAAATTAGAAAGATCAGCTGGGTCTTCTGATTACTAAAGAAAATAAGAATTTGGTTTGTTCCCATGCTCTGTAACTTTTATAGAAGAATCTAACATTGCCACAGACTTATAAAAAGGTAATTTTAGATTCTTAAGATACTCCTTTTTGAGATAACATTAGCTATGTGTATCTCAAACTATAAATAACATTTTCTAATAGCCACTACTATTTCCTAAACTGGAAAATACTATAAAATGATCCAAATATTCCTCCTTTTACCTCAAAGATTACTAAGATTAAAGCAGATGCAGACAAAATGTGAAAAACAAATACCTAACAGTCTGTAATGCTGAAGCACTCTCACTTTTCCAGAAGTGAAGGCAAACAATGAAATCAGTATCTGAGACCTTGGGAGATTGAGGACTTGGTTCTGAGAGATAAACTATCAGACATCGAAACTGTCCACTGCTTTCACTGAGTCCTCACTAAATAACTTCCCACAGCGAAGCTTCACATTTAAATAACCGTAGAAAAAATGTCCTCAAGTGGAAATAATCATAAATTGAAACACAATCCCAGTGACCAAAACGAATGGCTACCAGCATACAACACTGGGAAAGGTAGATTATTTTTAAAAAGAGAATGCCAAACAAAATAAACTTTCTCAGTGAGTCTCAGAAATTCCTAATAAGTTCTTAAGGTTTGTGTTCAAATTTTTGTAAAAGAGGTAGAATTAATACATGTTATCCCTTTCTGCATTATTCCCAATGTCTCTAAATGTATTTACCAATAGGAATTGCATTTCTTGAAGGCACAAAATCTCCAGGAGTTCTCAAACAAAATAGCAAAACAAACACACAAACAGAGAAACAACTATATTTATTACATAGAATTTCATTGAAATAAAGCAAAGATGGGTGTAGAGTGCAGCTGAGTGAAGTGGAAGTCAAGTCCAGGTAGTCATTTTAATCCTAATCCCCACAGAGAAATAAGCAGAAAAGGGAGGAGGAAGAAGAGGGAGATGACAAGAAAACAAAAAGAATGAATACCTATTAAGAGTTCTGTGAATTCTCAGATTTCTATAAAGCTGAAAATGTAATATATTTATACCTCTATTTATTAGAAAAGTGCTATAACCTATATTTACAAGTGATGAATTTAGTTTGTGGCAATATTGATATTTCATTATTTTTTTATAACTAAAGAGAAGAAAATAAGCTGAAATCCTAAGGGCTTAGAGAGATGTCAAAAATCTCAAAATGAATGAAAACAAGACAAGTTGAAGAGAAAACATCTGATTTAGTTTTAGTTTTATAGAAAGGGGGGAAAAATATGTTTAGTGAATGCTTGTTTTGTGCCAAATACTTTGCTAGGTGACTTAATCACATTTTAATATTTACAACCATATGAAGAAGGTATGCTAATACGAAGCTTTCCAGTGTAGACACTGAATCTCAACTAGAGCATTTAATCTGTGGAAGAACTAAGATTCAACAAAGTTCCAGAAACTGACCAGAGTGGCTCAGTTAGTTGAGCATTGTCCTGTGCACCAAAAGGTGGCTGGTCTGATTCCCAGTCAGGACACACACCTGCCTTATGAGTTAGATCCCTGATCAGGCATATATGGAAAGCAACCGATCACTGTTTCTCTCACTCACTCGCTCTCTCTCACTCTCGCTCTCATTCTTGCTCTTTTGCTCTTTCCCTTTCTCTCTCTAAGCATGTCCTCATGTGAGAATTTAAAATAAAAGTGGCAGAACTGAGATATGTACCAAATCTATCTGATTCCAAACCTCAGATTTTTTCTTTATTGTGCTTTTAAAATGAATTGAGTATTCTAATGCCTTAGTCTGTGTAGATATGGTTCCAGGAGAACTAATTAAAAGAATAAATTTTCAGAAAACATAATTATTTTCTGCATATATTTATCCTTTTATCTTTCTTTCAACAAGCATTTTTAACTAAATTTAATTTAATCAATAAACATTATTGGTAAAAATAAAAAGCAATTTTGACAACATGCACCCACAGCTTTTAGATTAATGGAAGAATTGTGTAAAATACTATACAATGATAGAAATATTCCTTAGTGCCCCTCCCGCAAAAAAGAATGGCATGAGTTATGTTGCAAATGGTCTTTTGGAAGGACATGGCATTTCATGCTGAAATAACTCATACAAATCTCTCAATTCATCATGAAACAGTGATAAAACAGAGCAGACATTTACTAGCAGGAGCAGCACAAGCCTCACACTTTACCACCACAGAATGGCCAATAGAAATTCCAGTAGTAAATTACCTGACATGGGTTAGAGGCATTAAGTGATTTCGTAAGAACAGGACTTCCAAGTTTGGCCACTCCAGGCAATTGATGTGCTCGCAAATAAATAAACAATCCTGCAAGAACAAATATAAAGTCATATAGATGCAGGTTCTTCTGTTGTGCTTTTCACAGCCCCTTACCCTAGTATCTTATCCTTGCACACATTCAACTGTCAATTAAGTAAAGAATATTATATTTTTACTTATTTACCATTAATCTATATAGACAACTAAAAGCACTTTCAGATGAATAACATTAAACACGGAAAATAAAATTTAATTGATTAAAAACAAGCTCTTGAATTAATCCTATAAACAAATATTATATTGGCTTACCTCACATCATAAGAGTTTAAAATCAAATTAAATGAAGCCTTTAAGTTTACAATTAGATACTCACTATGCCCGTAAGAAATTTCTATGAGAGCTTTATTTTTAAGGTTTTTCACAAAGTACTGAAGGATAAAGCTTATGGGATGAGTTTGGTTCCTCCTGAGGCTTACATGTTTGACATTGTGGTCTGTGCTAGTGGGGATGAATGCTTAATTGAAGATCTAATCTGAACGTTAACAAAATAACTGCTTATAGATTTTAACTACAGAGGATGTGCTCATGACAAATGTATAGGGGGATAACATCGCTTAGCTGCTCAAAAGCTCACACATCTGAACTGCTGTCCAGGGGAGTTGTCATTGAATATTGAAATATACAAGAAAGGCTATTCTGAACAATGTCAAAGTTTGATCTGCCCTTTGATAAGCAGGAAGTGATGGGCAACTTGGAAAGCCAACCATTTTTACTGGAAAATATCACATTCTTAAGGTGATTTTTCTACATACAAGTCAATGCTGACTGCACAGAAATGAATTTCATTATTAAAATGAATTATTTTATAGATACTCCATATGTTTAACAAAATAACCAAAGTTGCAAGTTAGCAGTATTGCCTTTGAGTGAAGAAAATAGTACCCAGTTTATATGGTTTTTAAATCTCAAAGCTAACTGGGAAGGCTGAGGAATACTTTTCCCAAATTTCAACCTAAGACTAATGGAAATAGTGCATAAGCTCATTTTATTCTCTACATTTCACCTATAAAGAAATAGAGTAGGAAAAGATAATATTAAAAAAGTATTCCACATTTAAAATCCTCAGGTTCAGGTAAAACTCCAGTGAATATTTTCAAAAGTCTAAACAAAATACTAAAAATTAAAAAAAATATATTCAGACATTTAAAATAATTTGTACAATTCCAAACACTTAATAAAGAATGAGATACAAAAACGCAAAAACTCTAAAACCTAAAAGACAAAAAGGGTTTGAATAAATTGGTTACACCACAAAATAACTGGAAGTGTGATAATGTCTACTAGAAATGTACAACCCCATGACTAAGATTTATTTAATTTTTAAAGAACAAATACTTGCAAAATTATTTAAAAGATCTTAAGTCTTAGAAAACTAGGAGAGCTCCCTAACTCACTTTATGATGCATGAAGACATCTTTGAGAATGAAAGAAAATAGAAGAATTTAAATAATAATAATACACTATAGCCCAGCTCAGTGGTTGAGCATCTAACCTATGAATTAGACGATCATGTTTTAATTTCCAGTCAAGGCACATGTCTGGGTTGAGGATTTGATCCCCAGTGTGGGCTTGCAAGAGGCAGCCAATCAATGATTCTGTCATCATTGATGTTTCTGTCTCTCTCTCCCTCTCCTTTCCCCTTTGAAATCAATAAAAATATATTTTATAAGAAAATACTGCTGAAACCGGTTTGGCTCAATGGATTGAGCATCGGCCTGCAGACTGAAAGATCCCGGGTTTGATTCTGGTCTAGGCATGAGAGAGAATCATTGATCAGCTGCCTCTTGCACACCCCTCACTGGTCATGGTTGCGGGCATGTCCCCAGTGAGGGGTGTGCAAGAGGCAGCTGATCAATGATTCTCCTTCATCGATGTTTCTAACTCTCTATCCCTCTCTCTTCCTCTCTGTAAAAAATCAATAAAATATATTTTTTTAAAAAGAAAATACTATCAAGCAACATCACTCATGATCAAAGATATGAAGTCTAATAAAAATATTACCAATTACATTTGAAATTCTTATTAAACATTTACATGTCCCTGACCAGGTGGCTCAGTTCATTGGAACATCTTCCCATACACCAAAATATTGTGGGTTCAACCCCCAGTCAGGGCACATATGAGAGGCAACTAATCGATGTTTCTCTCACTCTCCCTCTCTCTCTAAAATTAATAAATATATCCTCAGATGAGAATAAAACAATAATATAATAATTATAAATTACTATTATTTCCTTATTAATCAGAGCTTTCCAAGAATGAATATATTGTTTAATTTAACAGCACTATCAATATAGCAGCTAGATCAACAAATTAAAAAGTAAAATCATAGATTTATTTCAACAAATATTGAAAACACTGTGATAAACCAGCCATTCCAAATAATATAACTTAATATTAAAGTAAAACAACTAAAGACTAATAATAAAATCCAAAATAAACAATATCCTAAATGGCAAACAACAGAACTAGTTTAATTAAAATGAGAAAATAAATATTTATGTTAACTAAAGATCATAGTAGATAATGTTATCTTAAAATAATATTATCTTATAGGTCTAGTGAATGTAGATGTCAAGGGAATAGTATATTTAGTAAATATAACAGAAAAGTAGAGATGGAGTTCTCCTGTTTTGCCACTAATATAATTATAAAAGTAAATGTTCCCAGGAATTCTATTTTTTTAAAATAATGACAAGTATTAATAAAATAATTCAGTAAGGTAAGTGAAAACAAATATTTTAAGTTATTTTATTAACCATAGCAATAAGGTATAGATTTAGAAATGATGATACATATTGTTTTCACAATAACATTAGTACAAAATACATAAAAATAAATGTAATAAGAAAGCAACAGACATAAGAATATTATAAAATCTTAAAAGTGACTATAAATCCTCTGATAAATAGAAAGCGATAACATATTTTTAGATGAAAAATGGCAATATAAAATATTGTTAGTGAAACTTTATTTGGAAGCTAAATAAAATAATGAAAATTTAACCAAATATTTTAAAAATAAATAATATATTAAAATGTATATGTGAAGATAAAGGATAAAAAGGTTATAAACTCTGAACTCAGACCCAGGGACTTCAACATTTTTCTAGAAGTTCTTGCCAGTTCAATGAAATACACACATACAAATATACATACACATAAGACTTAAGATTTAGAAAGCAGAAAATAAAATTGTCATTATTTACAGATAAAATAATTGTGAATCAATAAAATAAAAATACTATTCCCTATAAATAAAATTAAATTAACAAGGTCATTGGATATAAAGTCAATTTTTAAAATTGCATTTCTATAATACTAGCAATGATGAATAAAAATATCAAAAACCAACAAAAATATTAGCAAAATATTTTTGTTTTGTATTTTTTGTTTTTTGTTTGCTTGTAAAATATTTTTAAAACTTGCATATTGAAAGCTACAAAATATTATTTAGATAAACTAAAAAAGATAAATAAATTGGAAAAGATAATTTTTCTAAGAAATACAAATAAAAATTTTATATAAAAAAATCAGCACATGAGTGGATTTAAAAATGGTGGTACATCTACACAAATGGAATACTACATTGCTATAAACAAGAAAGAATTCTTACCATTGGAAACAGCATGGATGAACCTGGAAAGCATTAGCTAAGCAAAGTAAGCCAGTCAGAGACAGATAAATATCACATGAGATTACTCATTTGTGGAATATAATCAATAATATAAACGGATGTGCAAAAATAGTTCCAGAGACAGAGAAGCATTGAAGAAACCATCAAACCTCAGAGGGAAGACAGGGAAGAGTTGGGGGAAGGGGTAAGAGATCAACCAAAGGATTTGTATGCATGCATATAAGCATAAACAATGGACACAGACAGTAGGGGGATGAGGGCATGTGCTAAAGGGTGGGAGTGGCTGGGGAGAGGTCAATGGGGTCAATTTAAACAATAGAGAATTTAATTTTTAAAAATGCAAAACAGCCAAACTGGTTTGGCTCAGTGGATAGAGCATCAGCCTTCAGACTGAAATGTCCTGGGTTCAGTTCCCGTCAAGGGCATGTACACTGGTTGTGGGCACATCCCCAGTAGGGGGTGTGCAGGAGGCAGCTGATCAATGATCTCTCTCATCGATGTTTCTAACTCTCTATCCCCCTCTCTTCCTCTCTATAAAAAATAAATAAAATATATAAAAATAAATAAATAAATAAAATAAAAATGCAAAACAAAACACCTTATACATTGAAAGCTACAAAGTATTATTTTGAGAAACTAAAAAAGATATAAATTGAGAAGCTATAAATATTTGAAAAGATCATTTTTCTAAGAAATACAAATAAAGGTTTCATATAAAAACCATTTGCACCCATAAGATATAATTTTATACTCATAAACAGAAAAATTTAATGAGAACAAAATGCCTATTTATGGTAGGTAAATGGAAACATTCACTCCTATTCTGTTAGTGAATATTTAAGCATTAAAATTTGTAGGGGAAGTAATTTATCAATATTTATTAAAAATATAAATACATATATTTTAGTGAAAATATAGAAGTCTCAATCCCAGATAACTGATACTTTAAAAACACCCTATATAAGATAACATGTACAAGAATGAATTTTAAAAGCATTGTTATAAAAATCATCAATCAAGGAGGGAATGGCATAGGCAGTTCAAAGAAATGAGAAAACAAACAAAATGAATTAGGCATCTTCTACTTCCAGATTTAGTCTTCTGTCCTAAGCTAGTAAAACTATACTAAACAATGGTTTTTAAATGTAGGACAATGGAAATGCATGATCATTAGTTAATGATCTCTAAATGTGGGGTAACATATGAGCTAAGCCATACAATCATCCCAGCTTACCATCCAGAGAGAATCCAGCTATCATGTAGGAAGCAGGAAACCAGGGGGGGTAAAGTGGTCTCTTCAAGTTGAAAACTTGGAGTTGTTATTTTGGGGAAACTTAAAAGTAACTAGAGTTTATAAGGCAGAGTGCCAAGGAGATGGTTACAAACACAGAGAGCTAAATAGATCTGCAGAAAAGTCCCCACTACGCCCTGCCAAACCTCAGATGAGAACTGATCAGAGCATGAATGTGAGAAAACCACTTGAGGCTAGGGGGGAACATCTAAAAGGGGCAGCTTCACCATGTCCCAAAGCTCACAAATGGCCAGAAATAGTAGGCTTTCCTCACCAACCATAGAGAAAACATTAATTATATATTGGCATTGGACAGAGCTAAGTCCAAAAAAATAAATAAAAAATGTTCAGACAAAAAAAACTGTATGCAAAGTTTATAATCTACACTAATAAAAGAGAAAGAGGCAAATTAACTGTACCTCTGTGACACTCACCAGCCACTCAGGAGTGAGTATGCAAATTAACCCAACAAAGATGGAAAGTTAATTTGCAAACACAGATGCTGAGCAGTCTGCTTGTAGGCCCTGAGCAGCCAGGGTTTCAGAATACCCCCAGCCAGGAGTAACCCACTGGTGCTAGTGCCAAGCATCCTGGGCCCCAGGATGAGTGGTCCGGGGTGCTAAGCAGCCCGGGTCCATGCCTTCCGGACACAGCGAGCGTGGGGCTGCTGGGTTTTGGAGTGTGCCCTTGGTAGCCGGGGACATGCCCCTAGCCCAGTGGACAAAACGTAGGGGATCCTTTGTGCATGGGCTGCAGAGGAAACACCTTTTTTTTTCTTTTTAAAAAATATATTTTATTTATTTTTTACAGAGAAGAGGGGAGAGGGATAGACTGTCAGAAACATCTATAACAGAGAAACATTGATCATCTGACTCCTGCACACTCCCCACTGGGGATGTGCCCCCAACCAAGGAATCAACCCTGAGACCCTTAATAGGAATCAGCCCTGAGACCCTTCAGTATGTAAGCCAAAGCTCTATCCACTGAGCCAAATCAGTTCGAGTGTAAACACCTTTTCTGAAGCTCCCTGTGTGCCACCACTTGCAGTGTTTTTGGTAACTTGAGTAATAAGAATCCAAGAAGGTGATCTAGGGTTTCCTACCATATTCCTGGAGGAAAAAATTGAAGGTCCACTACTGGAAGACCTAAGAAATGTCATATCCTGGCCTAGCCGGTTTGGTTCAGTGGATAGAGCCTTGGCCTGCCGACCATAGGGTCTAGATTCGATTCTGATCAAGGGCATGTACCTAGGTTACAGGCTCCTCTCTGGGGCCCCGGTCAGGGCTCATGCAAGAGGCAACTAATCAAAGTGTCCCTCTCACACTGATGTTTCTCTGTGTTTCTCTTCTCTCTCTCTCTTCCACACTCTCTAAAAATCAATGGAAACATAACCTCAGGTGAGGATAAAAAAATAAAAAAAAGAAAGAAATGTCAAAATCCATGAAAGACGTATCTTGAAAATGCCTAAATATAGTTGTCATTTTTTTTCATGGGGAATTACTGTAGTCCATGTTGATGAAAATACCTTGGTGGCTATGGTGGCTGGCAGTGGCTGCAGCAGTAGGAGGATGGAGCTGGCACCTTCTCCTATTCTGCCCAGTCGCCTCCATAGGGACCAGGCCTAAGCCATCAGTAGGACATCCCCTGAGAGCTCCCAGTCTATGAGAGGGACAGGCTGGGCTGAGGGATGAAATTCGTACACTAGGCCCCTAGCATATTCATAATCAGCAAACATTTAGAAACAACTCAAATGTCCCTTAACTGGTGAGTTTAACAGCAACTAGTGGTAGATCTATATAATAAAAGACTAGTTGGCAATAAAAAAAAAGGAACTACCACTGTAATCAACAATATGAATGAATCTCAAATTTATTATACTTAGATTGAAAGAAGCCAGACTCAAAAAGTTACACACTGTATGAATCTATTTACATTTGATGAAGGCAAAGAAATCACATCAGCAGATGCCAGTGGCTGGAGGGGAGTGAGATATTGACTAAAAGTTGCATGGTAGAATTTTGGAGGGAGTAACATAACTGTTTTGTATCTTCTGATGGTTATACAATCATATATGGTTATTCAGACTCAGTGAACTATACACCGCAAAGGTTGAATTTTACTACATTTAAAGTATACTTCAACATGAGCTGGTGAAAGAATTTGCCAGGAGCTAACTATTATGAAGAAAACAATATAAAGACAGTAGTTATAATATGATCTCATTTCACAACATACTTATACATATCTATCATGTATACAAGCCATGTGAATGTTTAATAGAGAAGCTAGGAATGAAAAAGTAGAAGCCAACCAAAAAAGAAGCTGTATGAAAATCAAGGTTTTACTCAAAAAAGATAAGCTACATCATGTCAACCCAGCCATCTTTTATGTAAAATTACATATGGGAGTGTATGAGGAAAATTACTGGATATTAAAGTTTTTTAAAAGCTGTAATCCATAAACACAAAGCTCTGAGAACATAATGCACTGGAAGTCTGTGGTTTTAGACATAAAAACTACAAGATTGACTGCGGCATTTCCCAGGAAACTTCCATTCTATTCCCCTTTCCCTTCCAGTACTGCTTTGTTTTCCTCCTCATTGTGATGGAAGACTAGAGTGATTACCTGAAGGTTAGATAACACAATGTCAGGTGAAGTGTTGGCTCAGTGTCTGGGATATTTACTTGATTTGTCCTTTCTAAAAAGAGAAAGAATGGCCCTAGCCAGTTTGGCTCAGAGTCCTCTACAATAAGACATCAAAATCCACTTGAGTCACCATCCATCCCTTATAAAACATTTATAATGTCTTACTGCAAATCATTACTTATCTGCTTCAGTTACTAGAGTCTGATCTATTCAAGGCAGAGACCATGGCTTCCATCTGCACACACCTAAGTCTATTAGATGGTATGTACTCAATCACTGGTTTGAGAAAAGGTAAAGAAAACATTGCATGAGCAGGAGAAAATGTACTATGAATATAGTATAATTCCATTAATTAAATTTCCTTTCTATTTTAAACTTTGTTTAATCCACTCTGCCAAAAAATCTTATGAAAAATAAAACTCATTGGCAAAAAAGCAAAAATTAAGACCTTACTCCACTGTCAAATAATGAGCTGGTTGTATAGCTTTGGAGAACAGATGGATGGCCAGTCTCCCTCCAATACACTAATATCCTCCCCCACCAACCCCAACTTCCAGTGGTTATAATTTAAAAATATGGCCAGAACTGTTACTTTTGGCATACTTATTTGGAAATCTTAAAAAAGAAATAAATAAAATAATGCCCAATGGGGTTATATGAGCTTAAAGTGGATCTACAGTTTAGTTGTGTTATTTTAAAGTTAATAGTATACCAATGTATCTGAATAATGGCATCTAAACAAAAGAAAAACATGAAACAAAATCTTTTCTTTTTTCCTAGGAGTTTCAAAAATCTTTATTAGAATGCTATATGTAGTTACTCTACTTTAAGGGGATATGTGAAAATATTTAAATATATGTTATTTATTTCAGAAAGAAAGAGAGAGGGAGAGATAGAAACATCAATAATGAGAGGGAATCATCAATCAGCCAATGACCAGCTCATGCACACTCCCCACACTGTGGTTTGAGCCTGCAACTGGGCAGGTGCCCTGACCAGGAATCAAACTGTGATCTCCTGGTTCATAGTTCGATGCTCAACCACTGAGCCATACCAGCCAGGTAGATATGTCAAAGTGTTAATGGTGGTTAAAAATATATATGAGGTAGAAGTAAGGTTGTTTCTTACAAAGAAACCATCAGTTATTAAATTTAATTCAAGTATTTCCAGATTTATTTCATAGATAATGTTAAATTTCTTTTTACAACTCCCAGAAGGAAGATTAAGCTATTTTTCTTTCTGATTTGAAAAAATTGGATTGGTCATAAAAGGAAGACAAGCTTACTGTTCATAATTCCTGGCAAGAAGAGAAAATTACAAGAGGATTCCAACCCCGCACACACTTATGCCTTTATTCCAACATTTAAAAAATGCAACAAAATGTTGATTATTAAAATAATGTTTCTTCTAAGAAACTCAATTAACTGCAAACTATTAAGTTGATCAGGAGAGTATAAAGCAAGACAAACCAAAGTTTCATGCACATTATACATAGACTAGAGACCCTATGCATGAAATTTGTGCAGGAGGAGGGGGCCCCTCAGCCTGGCCTGTGCCCTCTCCCAATCTAAGATCCCTCAGGGACATCCTAATGCCAGTTTAGGCAAGATCGGGTCTAAACCGGCAGTCAGACATCCCTCTCACAATCTGGGACTCCTCACTCCTAACCTGCTTGCTCCTTCCTTGGCTTGCCGCTCCTTAGCACTGTCACGAAGGAGGGTGAGGCTCCTGCCACCACGGTTGTGCTCACGAGCAGTGAGCCTGGCTTCTGGCTGAGCAGCACGCCTGCCATGGGAGTGCACTGACCACCAAAGGGCAGCTCCTGAGTTGAGCATCTGCCCCCTGATGTCAGTGTGCATCACAGTGACTGGTCATTCTGGTCTTTCCACCATAATGGTCACTGAGCTTTTATTATATAGATAGAATTGAAAATACACAGTAGTATCATTCCACAACATGAAAGGAAAGATAACTAATTTTTTTATGGCCTACCATGATTTGTGTTTGCTTGGTGATCCACCTCAGGAAGATGGTTTTCTCCACTTGTCAATCCTTTCACAAATTCCCAGTGTGAATTTTCTGTGAGAAATGGCTCCCAGCCACAGAAACCAGACTCAAAGTCACACATGAGGTGATTGGCTGTTATGCATGGAATAGAAAACAGGTAAGGAGAAATGAAGATGGAGCATACAAGGAAACAATGACCTATACTAGCCAATCAACTTAGGAGTTGAGAATAATCATTATTCTTTGTAAAGAATGTTTTCTGTTTATCAGGATAGTTTTACTTTCCAATTTCACAAGGTTTCCATGTGCTGTGTGAGGCCTCCCCTATCTATATTCTTCTATCTACACATCTGGCACTTTAGATCCCGGTTAGCCATTTCCATTATATTTAACTATAGGCCCAGTGCATGAATTCATGCGACAGTGGAGCCCCTCAGCCTGGCCTGTGGTCTCAGGCTGAAACCGGTTCTCTAACATGCCCCCAAAGGGTCCCAGATCGCAAAAGGGTGCAGGCCAGACCAAGGGACCCTACTGGTGCACAATAGGGGCCAGGGAGGGACGCTGGAGGTTTGCCAGCTGGGGAGGGCTCCAGGGCATGTCTAGCCAGTCTTACTCAGTCTGGATCAGCCAGACCCCTGCAGCAAGCTCACCTACTGGTCAGAACTTCTTCCCTCTGGTAGTCAGTGCACCTCAAAGCAATAAGTCAATCAACCAGTCAATTATCTGCCCCCTGGTGGTCAGTGCACATCATAGAGAGAGATTGAGCAGCGTTAGCATATCATTAGCATATTACACTTTGATTGGTTGAACAGCCGACTGGCCTACTGGATGCTTAGCATATTAGGCTTTTATTATATAGGATGATATAAGGTGAAACTCTAGAGCTTTTCAGGGAGTAACTAATGAACATGCCGAGATGAACAAGATTCACCTGTTGAAATGATAGTAAAAAATATCTATTGAAAAGGTTGGAATTTAAATTAATTCTGGACACCTAAAGAAGCTGAGTTCAAGACCTTGGTATTTTCTCTATATTCTATTTTAACAATTAAAAAAAAAAAACCTTCCTAAGAAACTAGGAATACCAATCAAAAAAGTTATATGCACCCCTTGTGTTCATAACAGCACAATCTACCATAGCTAGGATTTGGAAACAGCCTACGTGCCTGTCAGAGGATAACTGGATCAAAAAACTATCATACATCTACACAACAGAATACTATGCTGTCATAAAAAAAGAAGGAATTCTTATCATTTGCAACGAACTGGATGGAATTGGAGAACATTATGCTGGGTGAAATAAGCCAGTCAATGAAAGAAAAATACCACATGATCTCACTCATTTATGGATAATAAGGAACATTATAAACTGATGAACAAAAAGATAAATACAGAGACAGTAAAGAAACAAACAGCCAGGACTGGTTTGGCTCAGTGGATAGAGTGTCGGCCTGCAGACTGAAAGGTCCTGGGTTTGATTCTGGGCAAGGGCATGTACCTTGGTTGCAGGCACATCCCCAGTAGGGGGTGTGCAAGAGGCAGCTGATCGATGATTCTCTCTCATCGATGTTTCTAACTCTCTATCCCGCTCTCTTCCTCTCTGTGAAAAATCAATAAAATATATTTTTTTTAAAAAAGAAAAGAAAAGAAAAAAGAAACAAACAGACTGTTAAATTACTGCAGGGAGGGCCGAAACTGGTTTGGTTCACTGAATAGAGTAGGGGTGTCGAACTCAATCAGAGAAGGGGCCAAAATCTAAAATCCAGCCTAAATCGCGGGCCGAATGGTTTACTGAACAGTCATAAACTGTCATTGTGATGGAAACGCAGCGGAGTGCAGTGATGACAGCGCAGTGCGGGCCACATTGCAAGGCATGGCGGGACGGATTTGGCCCGCGGGCCTTGTGTTTGACACATGTGGAATAGAGTATCGGCCTGCGGACTAAAAGGTCCAGGGTACGATTCCGGTCAAGGGCACATACCTTGATTGTGGGCACATCCCAAGTGGGGGGTGTGCAAGAGGCAGCTGGTTGATATTTCTCTCTCATCCATATTTCTAACTCTCTATCCCTCTAAATTCCTCTCTGTGTAAAATCAATAAAATATATATTTTTTTAAAATTACAGCAGGGAGGGTAGGGAGATATGGGGGAGATAAGAGATCAACCAAAGGACTTGTATGCATGCATATAAACATAACCAATGGAGGAAAAACTATGGGGAGGGAGGGCATGTTTGGGAGGGGGGGGGGGATTGGTAAGGTATGTACACATATAATACCTTAATAAAAAAAATGACTACAAAAAAAAAAGCTAACCATTTTGGAATTGCAGGTAAATTAGATATTCCTAACTCTGCTGTTTTCCCTCTTAATACACAACTAAAAAATTCAAAAATGCTTTATTTGTCACAAAAAACTAAGGCTAGAGAAAGTCAGGATTTGGGATAAGCTTTATAAGCATTTTTTCCCCCCTAGTTTTGTCAACATATTATTAAGAAAAAAACAAGTTTCAGAAGTCTGGGCAATAAAGTAGAAATTTGTCCTTTTGAAAAATTAGTTATGTGTTTATTTCCTAAAATAAGAATCTTAGCCTATTGGGGAATACATTTAAAAATTAATTTTAAAATATTTTCATATATTTCTCTTTATGCAGATGCAATTTTTTATAATAGCAAAAAAGAGAACAAATAAATTTTGGTCAGAAAACATCTATTTTTAATAAGTTCCCTATGATCATACTATTATTCTATCTAGTAAAAGAGTAATATGAAAATTAACCATCACTCCACTGCACCCACAAGCCATGCCCACCAGCCATGCTCACCAGCCAATCAGAGTGAGTATGTAAATTAACCCCAACCAAGATGGCTTCAGCCAAAGAGAGAAGGAGGGAGGCTTGGGTTTCCCTGGCAATGGAGAAGCCATGCTTTCTGCACACCCTGGTAGGCCCAGGCCTCCACTCAGGGGTACAAAGTTTCAATTATAGAAGATAAATAAATTCTAACAGAAATGGCTGCCACCATGGAGCAAGAAGGAGGCGTGGCTACACTCCAAGCTACAAAGTTTCAATTGTAGAAGATAAATAAATTCCAGATACCAGGGCCTCCACTTGGGTTTCCCGGGGAGTGGAGGGGTAATGGCTGGCCTGCAAACCACCATAGGCCCCTCGCTCAGGCCACTCCACACCCCAAGGGAATCCCCACCGTGACCCAGGACACCCTTCATGGCAAACCAGCTGGCCCCCACCGGTGCACCAGGCCTCTATCCTATCTAATAAAAGAGTAATATGCAGATTGACCATCACTCCAACACACAAGTTGGCTGCCTGCATGTGGTCAAAAATCCTGCCCTCATGTACACAAAAGATGGCCAGCAGGGGAGGGCAGTTGGGAGGGACTAGGCCTGCAAGGGAGGGCAGTTGGGAGCAATCAGGAAAGCAGGGGAGGGCAGTCTGGAGGCACCAGTCCTGCAAGGGAAGGCATTTGGGAGGCGTCACCAGGGCTGCAAGGGAAGGCAGTTGGGGGGAAACAGGCCTGCAGAGGAGGGCCGATAGGGGTAACTAGGCCTGCAGGGGAGGGCAGTTAAAGGTGACCAGGCCTGCAGGGGAGGGCAGGTAAGGGTAAACAGGCTGGAAAGGGAGCACTTAGGTACCAATCAGGCTGGCAGGGGATTGGTTAGGGCACATGTGTCAAACACAAGGCCCGCGGGCCAAATCCGTCCCGCCAGGCCTTGCAATGTGGCCCGCACCGAGCTGTCATCACTGCACTCCGCTGAGTTTCCATCACAATGACAGTTTATGACTGTTCAGTAAACCATTCGGCCCGCGATTTAGGCTGGATTTTAGATTTTGGCCCCTTCTCTGATTGAGTTCAACACCCCTAGGTTAGGGGGTTATCAGGCTGGCACGTAAAAGTAGTTAGGGGCAATTAGGAAGGCAGGCAGGCGAGCAGTTGGAAGCTAGCAGTCCTGGATTGTGAGAGGGATGTCCTACCAGGATTGGGCCTAAACGGGCAGTCAGACATGCCTTGAAAGGTCCCAGATTAGAGAAGGTGCAGGTTGGGCTTTGGGACACCTCCTTCCAAGCATGAATTTTTTGCACTGGGCCTCTAGTAGTATAATAATGAAAAATGGGGCATATTACTTAATGTTGAATCAATACGTCAAAAAAATGCCATTTACCCATATATCTAAGTGGAAATCTATTGCTTCTAGATACATTTTCATTTTCTCATCTCAGGCTACTGGAGTTTATAGAATACTGTTATTGATTTAAGAAAGAAAAAAAACAAACAAAAAAAAAGCACTTACTCCTCAAAAGAGAGTGTTCTGGTGTCTTTACATAATTTTAAGCACCTATGGTCTAGCTATGACTGTCTCCCTGGACATTCAGAAAATTCGCTAGTCCATTTCCTTGGTCCTCCATGGACTTTGACACCTACTAGGCCACCTCCAAGTTCATCTAAGTCAACTGGTGTGGTACAGAAATATGCAATATTCAAAATATATACTTGACCTCTTAAATGTGCTTACAAGTTTCAAATTATTGGCTATGTACTTGGTTATAAATCTTCTCATCTACCCCTAGTTCCTAAGGCATAGAAAATCTTCATAGATGTGGTGACCACACACCTGTGTCAGCCCACAATTGCCTCAGTTTATGTCTGTCATCCTAGTATAATAATGAATACCTCTCATTTTCCTCTCAAATGTCCCTGCTTGAGCAATAAACTTAATATTGCCATATTGGAGAAATAAATCATATACTGATACACAAAGGAAGCAAGTCCATGTGAATGAATAACTTACTCACTGTAGATAGCCACTGTAGTAACCTATTATTCTATGCCTCAACTAGATAATGGTGTGAAATTGCGATAAGATAAATAAGTGTGGAAATGCAAAGTACAACATGAACCAAGCATTACCAAACCCTTCCAGAGACTCTTCATAACTGTGATTGTGTCACTTGACTGCAAAGATGTAAAGGAGATTTCAAGATACAATAACTTTGGGTTGTATAAATATTGAAATTTGGCTTTAGGAGAAAAAGTTCAAACCATTTCTTTCATCACTTGAATGGTACACATTACTTAATGGTAAATCAATATGGCAAGGAATTTATCCAAATACCTAAGTGGAAATCTATTGCTTCTGAATGTGTGTGTGTGTGTATGTGTGTGTGTGTGTGTGTGTGTGTTTCTCATTTCAGGCAACAGTTTATACTACTATACCAATATTGATAAAAGCTTATTCCTCAAAGAAGAGTCTCTTATGTTTTTTGTGTGTTTTTTTTTTAAATAATCTTAAGCACCTATGACCTAACTTTATAAGTTAAAATGCCAATTATTGTACTTTCCATGCAACACTAAATACCACTGTCTTTAGAAAAATGAAAATTAATTTTTAAATGCATCACCATAAATATATTTAAAAGCAAAATGGTACCATCACCTCTGTAAAAATGTGAATTTTTCAGTTATTTTAACCCCTGGCATTTGTTCCAGTATACCAGAAAGGGCTTTAAAAAAAAAAAAAAGGGGGGGGGGCATTTTTAATATACTAGAATTTAACTGCTCTCTCTCTCTCTCTCTCTCTCTCTCTCTCTCTCTCTATATATATATATATATATATATATATATATATATATATATATATATATATATATATATAAAAAAGCCAAGTGACTGGAATGGTGGAACAACTGGTCGCTATGAAGTGCACTGCAGTGGCCAAGTGGCCCAATGGGGGCCCTGATTGGGAGTGGGGCTGGCCCCTCACCCTGAATGGCCCCATCCTCAATTTCCTCCCAATCAGGGGTGGGCTGGCCAGCCAACTGCAGTTCCTCCCCCAAGCTAGCCCAGTCACTGACTGGGCCCCCACTGTGATTGGGGACAGGGCCAGCCAGACAACCTTCTGTGCCCCCCTCCCAGCCCAGTCCCTGATCCTCCCCAATGGAGGCGGGGCCAGACCCCACCTGTGCACAAATTCGTGCACTGGGCCTCTAGTAAAATATAAGTCAAATTCCAGACACCAGAGTTGAAGATATTCCATTAATATTTCCTGTATAATTCAAATGTTTATCCTAAAATTATAAATAGCTGAAGAAAACCAAGAGGACCAAACATTCTGTAAATGAATAAATGCCTTATGATACCTTGTATGTTAAATACTAAATATATATAAAATCTCAAACATAATCAATTCATATTATAAATAAAATGTATTCATTATAATGAGGGATTTTGGTTATTTGGTTGCTTTTATTTAAGTTTCTGTGATTATAGAAGACACATCATTATCTCTAACTAGAGCATGAGATATGCCACTGTTGGTAATTTCAGTGAAATTTCACTGAGTTCATCACTGAGAGTAATATTTTTAATTGATGACAAAGCTTTCTCTTGCATATTTAACCACTACAGCATAATGAAAGAGAAAAATAATTTCATTGTGACACCTGAGGAAAATTCTTCTGGATCATAAAAATTAAATATTTATGAATTATCTAGTTTAGAAGTAAACTAGTTTCTATCACATAAGAAAAAAGTACATTTGAAAATGAATGGGTAATGTTCCATTCAATAAGCAGATATTAGATTTCAGTATGTTTATATTATAAAAATGTTTGTTAATATTTATTAAGAAACTATAAGAATCTTTCCTCCACTAAACATGTATATATTTCTCTTAACCATTGGTATTTTAATATTTAATAATTTTAAAAATACATGAAAGATATTTAGAGATGGTATCATCATCTTGCCTACAAATAGACAAACATGTAAATTATATCTCTGCTACACCACAAGCCAATTAGGAGTGATATGCTAATTAACCCAATAAAAATGGCAGTTAATTTGCATACTCAGCTGCTGAGTGATAGGGGTGGGAGTCTTGTGTCATTGTCATGGTGACTACACAGGCATTCTGCCCTACTCCTGGTCTCTCAGGGCCTCTGGCAGCATGGGAAGGAGGGGCCAAAATGGAAAGAGGTAGCTCTTGGAGCAGAAAGAGGAGGCTCCGGGACCTGAAGAGAAAGGGGCTGGGTTGGAGTGAAAAGGCAGTGCCAGCAGCCAGGGAAAGGAAAGCCCATTCTAACATGAATCTTCATGCATCAGGCTTCTAGTACTATAAAATAAAAGCCTAATATGCTAAGTGTTCAATCATCTGGCCATTCTTTCAACCAATCAAAGTGTAATATGCTACTGATATACTAAAGTCAATCAACCACTCTACATTACGTGGCACTGACCAATAGGGGAGGACCCTCCGGCCAGTAGGTTAGGTTGCTGCTGGGGTTTGGCTGCCCTAGAGCCCTCCCAAGACCCCTACCTGGCTGGTCAACCTCCCACGTCACTCCCTGGCCTCGGTCGTGCACCAGTGGGGTTCCCTGACCTGGCCTGCACCCTCTCACAATCTGGGACCCCTTGGGGGATGTTGGAGAGCCAGTTTCGGCCCGATCCCACAGGCCAGGACAAGAGATCCCACTGGTGCATGAATTTGTGCACTGGGCTCTAGTAAAAAATAAATACCATATTTTTCGGACCATAAGACGCACTTTTTTCCCCCCAGAAGTGGGGGGAAAAAGTCCCTGCGTCTTATGGTCCAAATATAGCCTACACATATACTTTTTAAAAAAAGTTTTTTTACTTGCCCGGCTCTGTGTGGTCTCTGTGTGCTTGCCTGGCTCTAAAATGGTTCTAAATGCTGCTGTTTACTTTACAGGGTTGATTACATGTGTTTATGACTGTGATGTTGGGTTTTAATGCACATAAAATATTTTAGGACACTATTTGTTTCAGAATCTTTTTTTCTTCATTTCCCTTCTCTAAAAACTGGTGCGTCTTATGGTCCGGTGCGTCTTATGGTCCGAAAAATACGGTACATTGCACTGAATTCTTGGTTTAAGCTTCTTTCATCTGAACATGTACCAACTTTTCCTTTAAGGTGTCAAAACTTACATTAGCATTTAAAAGCTCTAATAAGTTCTACAAGTAAAATAATTTTTTCACAAATTATTTTCTTCTGTTTTGACTTAAACGCAGAACTATGTATCCTACCATCTTTTTTGGTGCATACACACAGTATTTTTTATATACATATTTTGTGGAAGGAAATATCAATTGTTTAATTAATAAAACCTCAATATAGGAAAATAAATGGGAAAAACATATCCAAAATCAAATGCTAAAAGAAAAGTAAATAAATAAATAAAACATTTGTTTGAGATATATGAATTATATTCATTTAGTTGGAATCAGTATTTCTAAAGAGAGACAGAATTTTAGTTGCCAAGTTACATCAGATGAGAATCATCATGTGGTTAAATTATATATGTACTAGAGGTCCAATCCATGAAGATTCCTGCAAGAATGGGCCTTCCTTCCACAGGCTGTCGGCACCCCCTTTGCTCTGGCCAGAGCCATCTTTCTGCTCCAGCCTGGAGCCGTCCTTCCATCTTCTCATGCTGCCCAAAGGCCCAGAGTAGTCAGAAGCCCCCAGCTAGTTGGCTACTACATAAGCAAATTTACCCGCCATCTTTGTTGGGTTAATTTGCATACTGACTCCTGATTGGCAGGTGGGCATCATGAAGGTATGGTCAATTAGCATGTTACTCTTTTATTAGGAAGATTTTTAACTATGACTTGGCTTGAATAGTTGTAGGTTTCTTGTCAACACTCTTGTCAAAGACTCTCCATAAAAGGTCTGAAAGAAAGGTGTTAAGCCTTTTTTCCTACTTAATTGGTCAGAATGGGAAAAGTCCTACATTTATAAAGGTTAGCAATATATAATATATTAGTATGTCTCCAAGGGAAAAACTAGAAAGAGTTTCCCTTTCCTACCCATTTATCTCATTAAGGAAAAAACACACACATACACCACTAATGACAACTATTCATTTGTTGAACAGAAAGGTTTTGCAATACCACCAATTCACAGCAGACTATATTTGCTATATAGTCAGCTCTTTTATTAATGTTAGCAAAGAAATTCATGCAAAATACAGTATTAATAGCTTCAGAATGAGAATATACATTCATCTTATTTCATATTAGCTTTACCTTGCATAAAACAAACTCTAGTTTTTTAAATCCAACCACAGTCATGATTTGGAGCATGTTAATGAGTAAACTATTGATTCACTTACAGCAATTCACCGGGTCTTCATCACTCTTATCAGAACAATCCTGTTGAGAGTCACAGACTGATTCCTGGGCAATACACTGACCACTGGCACAAGTGAATTCACCTGCAGAGCAAGACCTTCTGGGTGCGGCCTGTGCACACACATAGACCCAGAGCTGATCCAGCCCAATGAAACTTCTCTGGCTCAAAAGAGCCCCTTCGAATATAATCTTTAGCGGGGGGGAAAAATGAAAAAAATGAGTTCATAATCTCTTAAAAAAGACTAATTGTAATAATAATAGAGATAAAGTTATTAAGAAAACATTTGTTTAAAGAACAGGCAAATACAATTGAGAACAAAGTTCTTATTTGAGAAGCCTAACACACACACATAAGATTAATAGGAACATTAGATCCACTGAAGCCTCTGAGAAACCACTCATGCCCATGATCAGGTCCAATAGAGCATCTCACTTAATTCTCAACAATATCCCTGACTGAAAACTATGTACTTGGTCTCATCTTTGCAATTCTCTCTCTTTAATATTTAAGGAAAAGACTAAGAATTGTCACTATGTACACAGCAATAGCTATGCACATTTTTTAACTACTGAAAGTAGTATTGGAATGCATGAAAAGAAATGTCAGGCAAATGGTGAGGGATGCGACAGAAGAACAGAAAATTTAAAGATTATAAAATATATTAATTTTATCAAAAATTAATATATTTAAAAATCAAAGCTTAAATTAAATAATATAATTTTCTCCAATCAAATCGCTAGCTTTTCTGAAGGTATACAATTCTAGCAAGTGAAACAACCATATGTTCCTAGTCCAATATAAGATAATATAAAAATATTTTTGTAGGAATTGATTATAACTGATTCGTTAGATTGATTTAAGAGAGAGAAACAGAGAGGGGGGCAGAGACAGATTCACGTGAGAGAAAAATATCCATCAGTTGTCTCCCACACATGCCTCAACGAGGGATTGTACCTGCAACCTAGACATGTGCTCTGACCGCAAATTGAACCCACCACTTTTCTGTTATACAGGACAATGCTCCAACCAAGCCACACCTACCAGAGCAATGTCAAAGTATTAATCTTCCTTCAGATCCTACCAAGAGCAATAGTCAACACCAAGAGGAAAAGACAGACAAAAGAGCCGAGGGGATAGCAAATAACTAATTGTCTGCTGTCCAATACGATAGTCCATAGCTAATTTGGGATATTTCAATTTAAATTAATTAAAATTCATCCCCTCTGTGGCACAAGCAACATTTTAAGTGCTTAATTAGTCGCATGCATTTTATTGCTACCTTGTTGGAAAGCACAGATATAGAAAATTTCCATTACCACAGAAAGTTCTATTGAACAGTGGTGAACTAGATGTTGTTAACATATAAATAAGATACTAGAAATAAAAGTCAACTTCTTTTATCTCTTCTGGCTTAAAGTTTCTAAATAAGTTTTCTGCTTCGCAAAAACATGACCAACTATTATTTCACTGTTAAGAATTAAGTCAAGTTCAGTTTGCAAATATATTTAATGATTTAGTCTAGAAGATAATATTAAATTTAAATATCTAACATTAAAAAAAAAACTTTGAAGCTTCTACACACTTTCCCACAATGAGTATCATAGTACAAATGTATAAAATTATTGTATCTAAAGCTGTATGTTTTCATAGCAGCAAGCAATCAGACATGTAGAAATATCAGAAGTTGTAATATTGAAAAATTTAAACTTGTCTCAAAATTTAAAAATTTAATCTTAAATCCCCAAAATCTGCCACTATTAAAAATCTACTTACACTTAATATATATTTGGAAACCTAGAATAACTTCCAAATTATTTTTTTTATATTTTACTTTGTTTTATCTTGGGGTTAAATAACAAAATTTTAACATTCAGTCTACATATAAAAGATGAAACTCCAATCATTTAGTACTCATTTCAGAAATTATAAAGGTAGATATCAGCTTAGAAAAGTTAAAATAGTGTCAAAATGTTGCGTCAGTAAGCTATGTTATAAACCTAAACTACTGAGATTGCTACAAAAATGCTATGGTTCAGAAACTCCAACCTCAGAAGTAAACAGGATTCAAAATATCTCATGATTAGATTAGTGTCATTTGGGTTATTCCTTTTAACACCTAGAGACATGTATGAATATGGCATTAGCATAAGGAATAAAATTGCTTTCAGAAGCAATTATACTTATACTCCAATTATACTAATACTCCAATATAAACATATGCTTTATGAATGTAGTATTAAATAAAGTACTGCACTTCAAAAATAAAATTCTAAATAGCAATTAATAATATCAGATATTAAAATAACTAACTTACTATATTTTGTGATATTTCCATAATATTAGAAAAGAAAGAAATGATGGTCAAACATTTAATATGAAAGTTTAGGAAAATATTATCACAATAATTATTTCAGCACAATTTCTACAAAAGTCCATGTAAGTTTTCTAGAGACAGTTTTCACTCTGAGTCCTTCACTCAGGGGAAGTTTGGCCTGAGAGGTATAGGTAGAATAAAAAGAAGTAGGTAATCGCTTTCCCCAAACCTATGTGTACATCTTTAATGTAAATGCTAATTTAAATTTAGCAATGGGTGATAAATTGACCACTACACAGCCAATAATGAAACATGATTAAAAAAATACTTGCTCTTCCCTTTTATACCTTAAATGTCTTCAGTCCTTCTGGTATTAACACATCCTTTTTCACCCATTTTTTGTGAGTTGATGTATTGTATGTCCAAAATATTTCTTCTTCCTTTGATTAGAATAAAAAGACATTACTCATTCCCCACATCCACTCTCATACTTACATACGTACACTCTTAATTACATTTTAATAGAATTTATGCTACCTGTAGAATAGTAAGTACTAAGGAATCTAAAGCATTGGTGAAAGGAGTGTATAAAATTTTTTTAAAGAAACATAAGGAAATGGGAGAACACAAATAGGTGGAGTTTCAAGGATGTTTAGGGCAGTGAAAATAGTCAATATGGTAATATAATGATGCATATGCCATTATTGTTTGTTCAAACCTACAGAATGTATTGTACAACATACTATATTGTACATCTGTATAATGATCATTTCACAGGTTGCACCCAGTGCACAAAATTGGTGCACTGGTAGGGTCTTTAGGCCTGGCCAGTGATCAGAGCTGATATTCGGGGCAATTGGCAGGGCAATAAGTGGGATCCCCATTGGCACCCACTTTGGCTGGCCTGGGGCATGTGGGCTGGGAGCAGCTCCTGCATTGAGTGTCTGCCTCCTGGTGATCAGTGTACATCATAACAGTGAGTTGTTCCACCATTTGGTCAATTTGCATATTACACTTTTATTATATAGGATAGGATGCATTATGAGGTAAAATGCTCAATAAAAGTCTCTAATGTACTCCAAAATTTTGCTTCTGGTTTTAGGCTTTATAATTAGGCTTTATATATAGGTGACTATGTTCCTATGCTCTGAAATAATACTATTTTTCTTTGGATTTTATCAAACAGTGAAGTTAATTTGACATTTCCCTGGTAATGTTCAGAATATTTACCACAGGGTGTACTAATTTTTCATAGATCAAAATAGTGGAAATGCAAAAAAGTGGCAAAATTATGTCTTAAGCTGAGCTTTGAGATGCCTCTGCGCTCCCTTTTTACTGTGAGATAGGCAATGGCATGGAAAGGTGACATCTAGTTATAATGACACTCACATCTTTTCAAACTCCTGCAAGCATTTATCTCCATAGTTGGCTTCACTTGATTCATATCCAAGATTTTCTAGAAAATGAATCTATTTTCAACTTAGTCCTTTACCCTCTGATTTCTATCCCTATTTCCAAGTCTTAAATATTTCAGAAGATATATCTACTAAATCTACTAAAATGTACATCCTTCCATGACTTATTTATATCAACTCTTAAGATTCCCACAGACAGATGAAAGGGTTTGGCTCAGTGGTAGAGCGTCGGTCTGTGGACTGAAAGGTCCCGGGTTTGATTCCTGTTAAGGGCATGTACCTTGGTTGCAGGCACATCCACGGTAGGGGGTGTGCAAGAGGCAACTAGTCAATGTTTCTCTCTCATGGACGTTTCTAGCTCTCTATCTCTCTCCCTTCCTCTCTGTAAAAAAATCAATAAAATACATTTAAAAAAAAAACTCCCACAGACAGTGAAACATACATGTCAAACATGTTTTCATGGTCATATCAGGATGAACTGGAGTTATAAAAAGGTAAGACACACAAGAATTTTTTGCTAATTATTTCTTATAGAACTTCAGTTATTCCACATCAATACACTCGTCCTCCACAAATGCTTTTAGTGACACTGCTTGGCAAGCTGTATTCATCACTTCCCCTCACTTTCATTTTATAAGAATAACTGAGAGCAACTGTGCTCTTTTTTCACAATGACTAATTGATTCCCCTCTGTTCTACTGGAAGAAGAATACATTTATATTTTTTTGAAAAATGAGCAGAGTTCTTTCTATATCATAAATGGAATTTCATACACTAAGTTAATTGTATATTGTGTATGAAATCCAGATTTTTCTACCACATTTTCTTGTCTCATGCTACAATGAAAAAGAAAAATAATTAACCCCAACTAAGCAAAATTAACTTTTATTTTATTTTTATCTCACAGACTCTTATCTAACTACTTTCAACAAGTGTTAATGTGAAAGAGACTCCCAATTCAGAAAAGCCTTTCAAGTAATGTTCTAATTTTTTATTTTCTTAATCAATAAATAAAAATGTTAAAAATATCTTTATTCCATGAGACCATCATCAATAATGTCATTTTACCCTTCAAGAAAAATATTTATAACTACATATGTTAGCGATATCTGCTTATCCTCTTTTCTAGTGAAGAAAATAAACGGAACCAATTTAAAGGGGTTATTTTATTTTATTTTATTTTATTTTTAACTACTTTTCATTGCGTACAGGATAGGTTCATATACTGTGGTAAAGACCTTCCTTCAAGGAAAGTTTATTATGGCTTTAAAGACAGTGCCTTAGAAATACCTTTTCTAAGGCACTGTCTTCTCTGCCCTAATTGTTTTCTTCCTGTTTGCCAGTGAAAATTTAGAAAATATGTAGATATTCATGTACATAAATTTATCTACTTTGTTACAGATTTGTGCTACATGTATAAAATATAGCAAGCAGAGTTTCAGAAAAAATAAACCACTCTCTTCAGAATACTGAGTAAACTAATAAGTCAAACATCAGACAATACTGTATATGATGTACTCTTAATTGCTTCCAGTTAATATACCATATTAGTTCTCATCTAATAAACTTCTGTTTTTATAATGTAGGAAATGAATTGCTGATAACTGTATTCTTATTATATGAGGTGATATCTGAAGCCAATTTGTTTCCGACTTTTCCTGTAGCATCCCAAAGCTACCAGAGAAATGACATCTCTAATTTTAAGTAATTCATAACTCCATTCTACATATATTAAAACTTTAAAAATCCATCACTGGTGTTCAGAGCAGATTAAAATAATCCCCAAAATTAGAAGATATATGATACAAATTTTACTTAAATGTAGAATAACTAATTCAGCATTTATCAAATATTAATTAACTAGAGGCCTGATGCACAAAATTCGTGCACTGAGGGTGTTTCTCAGCCCAGCCTGCACCCTCTCCAATGTGGGACTCCTCAAGGGATGTCCAACTGCTGGTTTAAGCCTGATCCCTAACCCGGCACTCAGACATCCCTCTCACAATCTAAGACTGCTGGCTCCCAACTGCTCACCTGCCTACCAGCCTGATCACCCCTAACCACTACCCTGCCAGCCTGATCAATGTCTAACTGCTCCCCTGCTGACCAGGTAACCCCAACTGCCCTCCTCTGCCAGCCCAGTTGCCCCCAATTGCCCTCCTCTGCCAACCTGGTCATCCCTAACTGCCCTCCCCTGCCAGCCTGATTGCCCACAACTACCCTTCCCTGCCAGCCATCTTGTGGAGGCCATCTTTGTCCACATGGAGGCAGCCATTTTGTGCAAGAGCGTGAGGTTCAATTTGCATATTACCTCTTTATTATATATGATTGCCTGCTGTAAAAAGCACTTTCGTAGGGCCATATATTTTTAAAGTGCTTTAGCTATAATATAAATGTAACAAAATTATTCTAGAATTTCTTTGTTGAAGAAGGATACTAGAAATTTTAGCTGGTTGCAAATTGCATAGAGGCTATCTGGGCTTGGTTTATATAGCATTGGTAACAATAACTGAAACATAAATACTACAACATATATGGATAAATTTTAACCTTTTTGTTTGTTAATTTGTTTTGTAAACTGTAACCCATGTATCTGGAAAGTGAGGAGAACTACAGAAAGAGCAGGGAAATATTTTTACAAATTGAATGAAATATACCAAATAGATTCCAAGGCATTATGCTGCCAAATACTACTGTAAAATATATGCTATTACAAAATATAACCTAGTTACAGAATGCTAGACATTGTGTCTCATTCCTATAACAAAGGAAAATGTATTAGGCTATCTAATGAGAGTATTCATCTACCTTTATGCTTTAGAACACATGTGTCAAACACACGGCCCGCGGGCCAAATCCGTCCTGCCAGGCCCTGCAATGTGGCCCGCACCGCGCTGTCATCACTGCACTCTGCTGCATTTCCATCACAATGACAGTTTATGACTGTTCAGTAAACTATTCGGCCCGCGATTTAGGCTGGATTTTAGATTTTGGCCCCTTCTCTGATTGAGTTCGACACCCCTACTTTAGAACTTTGTGAATATCTTGAAAAAGAAAACTAGAAGAAAGAAGACCGGACATGATGAAAATGACACAAAAGGGTAAAGTAGAAGTGATATAATAGAACTAGGAAGAAAAAGACTTTGTCTTGAATTTTCAAATATCTTGCTAATAAGCATTCTGAAATTTGAGGATGAAAAATAAGAAAATGCTATTGAAAGATGGTTACTGGCACTTAATAAGTGCAGATGATAAATTAATTTGTGTTAAAAATAAATCTAGCTGAAGTCATGTGCAAGTTTCAATTGGATTTACCGAAAGTATCCTGAGCCAAAGGAAACAAATTTGGATGATTTTACTGTCTTCCTTTTTCCAATATCAGAATTACTGCAATTATTGTCAAATGTTCCCCATTTCTAGAATGATTGCTATTTACCCCTATGATTTATTACCTTCTAATTATAATTTTTCCTCACAATAGAAATTCTCAGTGTTTCAGGTATTTTCCCACATGTAGAGAATTATTTTTAGTTATAGTTAGTTTAAAAAAAAATAGAAAAAGGCTTAGGCTAGTATTACCACCACAATTTTTACTCTGCCCAAAGAACAGGGAGGTTGGTAGGCAAACCCCGCTCCCAATAGGAGTTTGGGGGGCTGATCAGGGGTGGAATAGCCAGGGATGGGGGCCATAGTCTGTTGGCTGGCCAACCCTGACCCCTGGTTGAACTCCCAATAGAACTCATGGTTGAGGGGACAATGTGCCTATCAGCTTTTTATTATATAGTATTATCACATTGCTTTTGCAAATTATTACTTCATTGGCTTTTCCATATGGCAGTATTTTCTAAATGAATTTCTTAATATTTCTTTTTAAATGTATACTAAATAAAATCAAGCTAAAGAATACCTAAAGTCTGCATAACTGAGAAACAGAAACAGAAGTTGCCAAATTAGAAATTTCATTTACTCACTGGTTTTGAAATAAATGCAAGTTTCTTCTTACCTTATTGTTATACAGACTTACTCTCAGGACACTATTTTCCATAGCATAATAGAACTGCAAATGGCAGCTCTTGCTCCAGCAGTGACACACAGAGCTGTTTAGATAAGCCCTGCTGTCTAAATGGTCAAGTGTAGAAGCATGGTTAGCTTCTACCCACATGTAGTAACCTGAAAATTAAAGGAAAAGAAAGCAATTTAGAAACAAATTAGGTACTTTCTGTTTGAACAAAATTATTGTTTTTCTAGAGTTTTCAAAATCAGACTTGAATCACAAATATTTTATTTAAAATGATGATATGATGGTATAAAATAATTGTATCAACTACATATGACAGGTTTTTGTTTCCACATGCACTCTCTAAGATGCATTGAAATCTGTTCCAAATGTCTGAAATAAAAGTTTGATAATGCAACCCAAATGAAAATTCAATAGTCTTATAAAAATCTCAATGACACCAAGTTTTCATTTTCATTTAAATATCACAATGTAACTTTTCTTTAATCAAGAATTCTTCAGCCTTCTTTCCAAAATTATTTTCCCTTTTGATTATTTTTCCTACTTTTTACAAAGAAACTTTTATCATTTGACAGAATAGATAAATACATAGATAGATAGATAGGTAGATAGATAGATAGATAGATGGATATAGATATATAGATAGATAGATATGTCTTTTATATTTTTTTCAGAAAAACATTTCAGAATCAGATGTGTATTAGTAAGAATTCTTCAGGAAAACAGAGCCAATAGAATCAGAACTATAAATATATTAATTATAAAACTGGCTCACAGAGTTATGGAGGCTGAGAAATCCCAGTCTGCTATCTGCAAGCTGGAAAACCAGGAAAGTAGGTATAATTCAATCTGAGTCTGAAGGTCTGAGAACCAGGGATGTGGTGGTGTAAATCTTAAAAGAGTTTGAAGGCCCAGACCAGGAGCTTAGATGTCAGACATTTTTGTCTCTCAGCATTTTACCTTCTATTTGCAATTCATCTCATGATCTGTGAAAATCTGAGTAATTGTGATGGCAACACATGCCATGTATTAATGGAATCCCAGTTTCTCTTGACAAGGATCGGGAAGTTGCTGTGCACTTCTCAAATCCCACCAACTCTATTTTTCACTTTGTTCTTATTATTGACACTGTTACAATTGTTCCTGTTTCCACCCAGTGCCCCCTGCTTTGCCCATCTTCACTCAGCTACTGCCTTCCCTTCCCTCTGGCCAATACCGCACTATTGTGTGTCTATGGGTTATGCATATATGTCCCATGGCTAATTCCTTCATCTTCTTTCATCTAGTCCCCACTTCAATCCCCCTGACAGCTGTCAGTCTCTTCCATGTATCCATGCCTCTGGTTCAACTTTGTTGTTAATCAGCTCATTAGATTCCATGTATAAATGAGTTCATATGGTATTTGTCTTTCTCTGACTGAATTATTACATTTAAGCATTATATTCTCCAGGTCCATCCATGCTGCTTCAAAGGATAAGGTTTTCTTTTTTTCTTATAGCTGGGTAGTACTCCATTGCATAAATGTACCATAGCTTTTTATCCCCACATCTACTGAGGGGCACTTGAACTCTGTTTCCAGATCTTGGCTATTGTAAATAACACTAGAATGAACATAGGGGTACAATATTCTTTCTGATTGGTGCTTCAACTCTTAGGACATATTCCCAGAAGTGTGACCACTGAGTTCCATTTTTAAATTTTTGAGGAAACTCCATACTGTTTTTCACAGTGGCTGCAATAGTCTACATTCCCCTAGGAATGTACTAGTGTTCCCTTTTCTCCACATCCTTGCCAGCACTTATTGTTTATTGATTTATTGATAGTAGCCATTCTGGCAAATGTGAGGTGATATCTCATTGCAGTTTTAGTTTACATCTCTTTGATGATTAGTGATATTGAGCATTTTCTTTTCATGTCTTTTGAACATTTCTATGTCCTTTTTGGCGAAGTGCCTATTCAGGTCATTTGCCCATTTTTAAAAAATATACCTTTATTAATTTCAGAGAGTAAGAAAGAGGGAGAGAGAAATAGAAACATCAATGATGAGAGAGAGTCATTGATCAGCTTCCTTCTGCACACCCCATACTGGGGATCTATCCCTCAATTTGGTCATGTGCCCTGACCAGGAATCAAACCATGACCTCCTGGTTCAGAGGTTGAAGCTCAACACCAAGACATGCCAGCCAAGCCCATTTTTTAAATGGATTGTTTTCTTTTTGGTGTTCAGTTGTATAACTTCTTATATGTTTTGGAAATTAACCCCATATCAGGTACATTAGTGGAATATATACTGAGTGGCCAGATTATTATGACCATCCAATCAGTACTTTGTTGAGCTACCTTTTGCCTTCAATACTGGGGCAATTGTTCTTGGCATTGACTCCACGAAATGTTGAAAGGTGATTCAAGGGATCTGACACCATGCCTGATGAATAGCACTGTCCAGTTCTGTGAGATTTGATGGTTGTGGAACCAGCTGCCTGATGCTCTTTTAACTTCACCCCACAAATGCTCAATTGGATTGAGATCTGGTGAATGTGGAGGCCACCCAATTAAGGTAAAGTCTCCTTCATGTTCTTGAAACCACTCCTGCACTATACGAGCACCATGGCATGGCGCTTTGTCTTGTTGGAAGAAGCCATCTCCTTTGGGATACGCCATCGACATGAAAGGATGAACTTGATCAGCAACAATACTTAGGTATGTTGTGCTATTCAGATGTTATTCCACACAAATTAAAGGGCCCAAATCATGCCAGGAAAATATGCCCCAAACTATAACACTGCCCCCACCAGCTTGAAGAGATGTACTCATGCATGTGGGGTGCATGCTTTCATGCCATTTCTGCCAAATTCTCACTCTGCCATCTGCATGATGCAACTGGAAATGTGATTCATCAGACCACATGACTTTTTTCCAGTGCTCGACTGTCCAATCCTTGTGTTCCTGTGCAAATTGGAAACGTTTTATCTTGGTAACTGCAGACAGAAAAGGTGTTCAAACAGGCCTTCAGCTTTCATATCCCAAATGATGCAGTTTAAGGTTAATTTGCCTACAAATGTCAGGTGGTCATAATAATCTGGTCACTCAGTGTACATTCTACCATTCAATGGGTTTTTATTTTATTGATATTTTCCTTGCTATGCAGAAGCTTTTTAATTTGATGTTGTCCCATTTTTATATTTTCTTCATTATTTCCTTTGCACTATGAGATATGTCGCCAAAAATATTGCTGAGAGCCGAAACCGGTTTGGCTCAAAGGATAGAGCATTGGCCTGTGGACTCAAGGGTCCTGGGTTCGATTCTGGTCAAGGGCATGTACCTGGGTTGTGGGCACATCCCCAGTAGAGGGTGTGCAGGAGGCAGCTGATCGATGCTACTCTCTCCTCATCGATGTTTCTAACTTTCTATCCCTCTCTCTTCCTCTCTGTGGAAAATCAATATAAAATATATTAAAAAATATATTATCTCAGAGAGAAGTCTGAGATTTTGCTGGCTGTATTTTCTTCTAGAATTTTTATGGTTTTGTGATTTACATTTAAGCCCTTTACCCAGTCTGATGTTATTCTTATGTATGGTGTAAGTTGCTAGTCTAGTTCGATTTCTTTTGCATGTAACTAATTTTCTCAACATATATTGAAAAGACTGTTTTCACTCAATTGTATGTGCTTGATACCTTTGTCAAATATTAATTGCCTACAAAGGGGAGGGTTGATTTCTGAGTTCTTTGTTCTGTTCCATTGATCTATATGCCTGCTATTATGCTAGTACCAGGCTGTTTTGATTTTTACAATGGCATTGAAGTATAGTTTTACATCAGCTATTGTGATAACTTTATTTTGTTCTTCTTTCTTAAGATTGCTGAGGCTATTTGAAGTTGTTTTTTTCTTACAGAATATAATTCAAATGCCCTATTTCTTAAGAAACTAAATGGAAGCATCAAATCTGTGGATTTTTTATTACCTAAAAATATTATCAATCAATTTTTCCCATCTGATTCTTAAAACCAATTTTGATTTTTGATTAACTCAATAATGTAGACAATACAGAGATATTTCCATAATTTTATAACTTCAATTTTCAAAAATAATATTTGAAATGCATGTTCTGTAAGTTAGTAAATATTCCTGCAGCTTCTGAAAACTATTTAAATTAAATGAAACTCCTATTTATTAGAAATGTTAAACTTTAATGAAAATAGCATACTAAGGTAATACTTTGCCTCAAACCTATACACAAGGAAATGATAAATAGAAAACACATTTTATAAAGCAAAGACAAGTCAAATGCCATCTAAAGAGAAAAGAAAAAAAATATGCTAAGTGATAAGCAGAATATGGGCTTTAGGAAAAAAGCAGGCTGTTGTAGCTTGAATTTTGACTAATTTAAATTTTGCAAAAGCTAAAGTAGAAGAATCAAATTCTCTTAATGAAAGCAAAGACTAGGGAGGGAACCTGCTCATAAACTGAGGTGGCATATATCCTTCCCTCACTGTCTGGGGCTATAAGGATGTGAAAACTCCAAGCATTGCCATGAAATATGAAACTGTAAACTAGAATTGTTATTTAGGTAAGGGATCAAGGAGCTAAGTAATGCTACAACAAAATCACTGAACAAGCAGGTAGGTACAAAGAAAAACATTAGGAAAGAATGGAGGAAGGATAGAGAAAAAGCAAATCTACATATAGTTACAAATGAAATGAACAGTTTTTCATTTTAAAATTGTATCACCACATAGCTTATTATTTAGGCGTGAGGCCAATTTAAAAATGTTTCAAGTTTATAAATACTAAGCAAGTTCATCACCATAAATATTATGTAAATAAAACACAAGTAATTTAAAAAGTGAACCTTTGCAGGTAAGAAAATAAACTGAAAGGGCGAGGATAAAATAATATAAACAACGATGACTAAAGAAAATGATAAAATGTATCATTATAACAATTGAAAACATAATAGCTTTAAATGATATTTACGTTAAAATATTTTTTAAAATATTAAACTATAATTCAAAACCTAAAAAGGGTGTGGGTGAAGGTGGAAGAAGGTATGAATGGTAATGAGAAAAAAAAAAAAATAATAATAAATAAATAAAAAGGGAGGGTTAAAAATGATAATTTAAAATACAATGAGTTCCTTCTATTCCAGTAAG